ACGACTTTTCCTTCTATAAAAGATTTGAAATGCAAAAACACCATGTAAATGCGCTATTTTTTCGCAAAAATTTCGATTTTTATTGAAGGATAGTAAATTAGAATAAAACCGAGATCATATTCGATAAGAACACAGTCAAACGAATACGAAATAAAAAAAAATTTTGTTTTTCGAGTGAAACTTAAGAGTTTTGGAATGAATTCTTTCGAAAACGGTCTAGGCTGTAAAGGCTCTCTCCGGTGTTTTGAGAACGCGCAGCTTAGCGCAGGTCTGAACTAACATGTTTTTATACCAAAATGTTCCTCGAGTGGCCGTGCATCTATGGTGAATGCGCAAAAGTGTGCATATTTTCCTGGACTGAGATATTGGTTTTCTAAAAACCCAGGTTTCTGAGGTAAAAACCAATTTTTTCACTTCAAATACAATTTTTCCGAACAATATATACATATTCGGGATCAACGTGAAAAACTGCATCTATTGACGTGTCTTCCAACTATTTTTCGTTAAAATTTGCTCAGTTTCTTTCGACGCAGCGTTTTTTAAGGTTTTTCTTTGATTTTGTGCGATGTTATTTTTTAAAGCAATTTCAAGCGTCGGGAAATTCTGCAAACTAGTTTTGTAGAGGTTTCCGGCTATGCTGAATCTAATGACGATATTGAAAAATTTTTGAAGCTGTTTTCTATAGGTTTTTCAGAGACCAGGTCTCTAGAAACCCCTTCAACAACTGGATTTTGGCTATTTTTCCTATGTCACAAGAAAGAGCATATTCGAAAACCTGTAAGAAACGACTTTTAGCATATGTGTTTAAGTTGAGGCTCATGTCCGCCTGCTCTAGGCAGAAATGCCCACTGTGCTATCGTGACACTGATGCAAGGAAAAATAACTTTGCCCGGATGAAATTCATTGGATGAATATCTGAAATTAGAGAGAATATTAAATATGATTTCACTTTCCATTTTCATTTTTTTTGAGCCTACCATCGTTACCGAGATATTTCCAAATTTGCTTTTCAGGTGTTGTAAGGTTATGGCGATATACAACGCGTGCGCCAAAATACAAATAGTGAATATCTCGGTAACGATAGTACCCATGCGAGTGAAAAAAGTCGTTCGAGGGGTGCGGCGAATACTCGAAAACAGGCCCTCGCCGAGGACTCAACCTCTCGGAAAATGGCACTTTGGACCCTCGATACAAGCTTTCGAGGGGTATCGATTTTGAGCCCTCGGATTTCAGGTAGGTAGCGAGCCCTCGGGAAAAATTTCGAGCTGTCGAATAGAGATGTTCGGGACTTTCGAGCCCTCGCTCTCTCGAGGGTGCGACGAGGGCTCGGAAATACTCCTCGAAAGCTTATATCGAGGGCCCGAAATGCCATTTTGCGAGGACTCGAGTCCTTGGCGAAGGTCCATCGAAAGCATATTTCCGAGCACTCGAAGTATCCCTCGAACAACTGGTTGGGTAAGCTCGAAAAAAATGAAAATGGAATGTGAAATCATATTTAATTTTCTCTCTAATTTCAAATATTTATCCAATGAATTTCATCTGAGCAGAATTATTTTTAACTAAACTAATACAAAATTAGTTAAAATACGTTGAAAGAAGTTGCTTGTCATGAGTGTCACGATAGTGAATGCCCTTCGACTATAGTCCACATACCAAAAAGTAAATTCTAAGGACTAGAGAATTTTGGGGTAAAAATCAAAGAATGTATCTAGCAAAAGTAGCTCGGAAAATACATTCCATACCCGCTACAACGGCTGCGGTAGAAAGACAATTTACCTCTGCTGAGCTTGTCGTAACTGAACGGCGCTCAAGTATAAATCCAGAACAAGTTGATAATAATGTTTTATTGATTCGTTCAATTGAGAAAGTGAACAGTTTATTGGAAAGAAGTGCTGCTAATGGATTACTCCTAGAGTATGCAGAACTTGGCAAAGTCCATCAGACTATTTACTCAATCTACTGAATTCGGACTGGACTGGACTACTTTTTTAGAGCCCATGGACAGGACTGGATCAAAATTCTGAGTCCATACGGATTTCTTTCATAAATTCAAACAGACCAAACAGAAATAATCGAATGGATATCATAAACAAGACTCTTAACCACTCAATAAGTTGTTACTTGTTAGATTATGTATCACTTAAAAAGTAGATGTGGTAAAACAGCATACTGCGAGTAGTACATTTTATTTCGTAAAGTATATGCTATTTATCAACCTAATAAGAATGCACAATGTTGATATTTTATCCTACTGTTAGTTTCATGAATGGTGCTTTGCGATTCCATCTGTGCTTGTCTATCCAATAAACTAGTGATGAAGAGAAATAATTCAAAACTAGTACCGTTCTTATTTTCTTTGATTAGAGAGATTCATGTAAATATAACTTTGTCTTGGTTATCTATAACACAATTAAAAATAAATAAACAGATATATCCATCTTGATGTAATGTGACACTCTTGTTTTTTATTTTTTTTCTGCTCTTTTACACACTGTAAAAAAAGAAGACGGATGAAATGTCTAAAAAAGACGGTCACACGTCTAATCTAGACACTTCGACCATTCTTCGAAATATCAAAAAATTAGACACATGAACCGCCTTGTCAAGACAGAAAATGAATGATTTTTTAAAAATGTGTGCGTCTAATTTTTTTTCTGATTGGCCGTTTTAACCCAATCACTCAGAGAAAGAATGATTTCAAGCGTCTCATTTCGACGTTTCGAGCATAGAAAATCAACATTTGTCTGTTTATCTATGAAAATCAAGGAAATACTCAAGAAAACAAGGAAATTTCGCCCAAAGAAGTAGATTGAAGATAACTTTAGTCTTCAAACTCAGTTGCTCTTGAACAAAAGAAACTATTTTCACTCGAGTTTTCACTTGAACTTGAGAGATAAACAGACAAATTTTTGTTTTATGGACTATACAGAAATAAAGAAAAGTTTCTTGAAAAGACAAATAGTTTCTTACCCTCTAACAAATAGTTTATACCCTCTAACTCAAAAGAAATAAATAAAATGAAAGTTTTATCTGGAAAAAGGAATCCAGAAAACATCTTTTGCATAGAACACCAGGCAAAGTAGATTAAACTATGCGTTTCCTTACTTTTCCAAAGTCTATTTGATCTGTATCATCCTCTTTTTAAGTGCATCCGTGTAAATCAGTCAATAGACAAAAAACGATAGAGTAGTTCAAGATGTGTTTAATGCGGTGTGAAGCGAAACACATTCTAGTAATAAACTGCGTGTTTTTTGTCAGACAAAAAGTGTGATTTTCTGCAACGATTATCTTGAAAACTACGTGGTATTTCAAAACTTTAAACGCTTGTAGAGAGAGGAGTGACTGAATTGTGTCTTCTCCCCTTTTGAGACTGTTTGTATATTTCGTTGCTCTGATTTACAGCTCCAAAGTAGATAGATCTTTTGAATGTTTAGGACTTGTAATTTTTTTCTTCAAAAAACACGATAATTAATCTGAATCATACATGTACTCGCACTTTTATACCAGAATATGTTCGTCTATCGTGTGATTCATTTATGATCGTTCTCTATATCTATTCAACAAGTAATTATCGTAACTCTAGCCTCTAATGCATTCTTGTGTTACAGATAATTATATGTTGACTTGAATACTATCTCGGAGAGAGAAAAGAGAAAGACAAACTGATTAACCCCCGTTTTGAACAAACATCCTCCTATACACAATTTAACAAAAAAAACTGAGTTCTCTGTTGCCGTATCCTTCATTTTCTTGTTCCTGCTTCGTACCGCATTCGCAACTCTCGCTAGCGCGATTGCCGTCTACTTTTTCTTTGTTTTAAAAAACTTTTAATAGAACATAAGAAAAAATGCTTGTTCTAGCACACAAAACAAACGGACACTCGAAATAGTACCATTCAGAAAATGTTTTTTCATTCCTTTACATCCTTACGGGCATTCGTTTACTGTTCTTTAGCTGACAATCTGGTTTTTAAATATAGACCAGACGTCTTTCCTTGTAAGTAACTATTCGAATGAACGAAGTTTCGATTGTTTTCGGCTATCGTAGATAAGTTTTAATTTTAACAGACAAGGCTTTTCAGAAACTGTCTAGTAAAGTTTTTTTGGTGCGAAAAGTGCTACGTTTCCCTACTCTACATCGAGGACACCGCGAGTGAATAAATCACAAAGAAAAATATATTAAACGAAGTCAAAACTTGCTGATCTCTACTTCGCAGTAGAAAAAAAACAACAAATAAACATTGTATAGTTCAAATTTTATTGTAAAATAGATATGAAAAAGAAATAAAAAACTACAATGACTATAATATTATAATAAACAAAAATATGAACTGGATACATAAATATAAACTATTAAAACATCACATACATCGACTAATAACTAAAAAGAGACAAGAAACAATCGAACAATAAATAATAATTTGATTGCTATATAACTTTACCTGTTCTTTGATCCTAAAAAGACTTCGTATAACAAAATAAAACGTTTGAGAGAACCCAATCAGTAAAAATAGTTAATTATACTGCAAGACAGATAAAAGATTTTTGACAAAAATAATTAAAAAAAAACAATATTTTATTAAATGAACAACATCATAGCTAGAAAACAAAACGATAATGAAGACGAGAGTTACATTTATACTATAAATCACAGTAAATAGATGCCTATAAACGGTGGAAACCTTATTTTAACTCTATGTTTAACTTGTTCATCTACGAAAAGAAAATGAATAAACGTTTTTTTGAATGAAGTTCTCATTCATCATAGTCATGAGCGTCTTGAAACGCAATTAGACACTTGCACATCTCGTTAGACGTGAGGCGTTCTTTTGCAATGGCATAAGGTGGGATACATTCCATTACTAAAAGATAGAATTCCTCTAGGTCGGACATTTGAATACTGAATTGAATGCTTCATTACTGGAAAAAGTAACGCAGGATAAACATGTGAGAACGCAGATAAGTGCAGCTGCGACTCGTAATAGAAAACTTCAGTGACTTTTTAGCTTTTGATCAATCCTTTGCGCCTTTACGGAATAATGTGGAAACTAAGAGAAGAAAATGGCTGCAGAATTGTTAGATTTAGAGTTTTTTTCTGATGAGGCGAGTGATTTATGCTCATCATACTGAAAATAATTTAAATGCACACTAAAAGTTAGCCGCTGATGTTAAATTTGAGAACAAGAACGAAAAACTAGTTAGAAATTGATTTTTTGGTACAGATCCCAAGAAAATTTGTATTCTTTAGAGAAAATCGACAGCAAAATACTAGTCGAAGAAAATACAAAAAACGTACGAATTCAAATGAAGATGAACAGTCTATATCAATCACATCACTAACACATAGTCTCTCCGCATATTTTTCGAATGAATAATGAAGCTTGGTGTTTCAAATACTTGTCGAAGAGTCAATCTTGATCCGATCGGCATATAAAAGTCCATAAATCATCTATTATCCACTATTAAAGTTTTAGGACAAAATTTAGTTCGTCTATTGACTAAATCAAGACTAATTTTTTTGACAAAGTACCTGTGGTCAATAACAATTCAGAATAGCAAGAAATTGACTTGAATATTACATCACATTTTAAGTGCACTTATCGTGACATGACATTTTTCTAAAAAAATGGTGCTGTTATTTGGTTTTATTCCTCCTTTGCATCGATGGGCGAAAGGCAATCCCTATATTTATATTTCACTCTATATGCAAACCGATTGTTAAAAGCCGCTCAGATGTTTGTAAAGAATATTAATCATCCATCAAAATGCGCATTATATGACTAAGATACATTCATCTCTCACCTCAATTTACGAGAAAACATAAGTAGAAAAAAAGAAGAACATCAACAGAATAAATAATTTCTCTAGTATTCGTATTACAGAGATCCATTATCAGAAAACGAACAAAAATTCGTTTGTCAATCAAAGGCAAAAAAAAAAGAGGGTAGAAAAAGAAGAACTTGTTACCATTCTCGTATCGTGATAACAAACAAAAGTGTATCTATTTTCTTTTTATGATTTTTAGGTGCACCGTTGTCAGTGCCATTTATCGTTGTTTCATTTTGTTTTTTATTCTTTCTTTTCCTGATATATGTGTGTGTGAAGTGGTACAATTTCATTTTCAAAAATGTAAAACTGAGTTATTTTATTATTTTACTTGCTTGAAAAAGAAGATTAATGATCGTCCCGTTGTTTAATGAAACATGCATTGATTTTTGAAGAATAAAAGCGAGAACAGGTAAATAATGATTTTAATTCAGTTCAGGATGATATATTTTAAAAACTTGTTCTATATAAGATTGAAAATGCTTCACAAATTTTTGAGAAGTTCTATTTTTTTCCGTTAATATTAATGAATCAATATTCTGCGACATGAAGTATAGTACAATTTATTTCAGCTCTTATTATGGAAGCAAAATCTCAACATCAACGTCGTTTGACGTCAGTTTTTAATGCGAGAAAAATTCTACGTCGTTGTACTCAATCAAATGGTACAAATATATTATTTTCCAGTTCAAATTCAAAACTTAGAAGTAGGTTTTGTTCTATACCTTTCATATGCATGTAAATCGAAACTAGAGTTTCTGAAGGAAACAAATGTCTGTCAAGGCTATAATCGTCAAATTTTTTCTTTGTTTTTACATCTATCAGCAGCAATTATTAATGATTGATCGATCTTGATCTCTCTTTTTTGTCTTTCATCTCAACAGCTAATATTCAAAGATTTTCACGTTAACGCAAAATCTTTTTTTTAATGGAAAAATAACAATTATTGATTTATTATATTCGATAGTTAACTACGTTCATATAAAAGAGAATTTTTTCATTTGATAAAATTTCTTCTATATAATGCTCTATATAATAATATACTAACACATTCAGATTATAAAATTTATGGCAACATAATTGTCCATAACTCCATAGACGATATGAAAACATTTTGTTATATGATAAAGGTCCTATCTAACCTTTTACAGAAAAACGAAAGAGAGAAAGAGAGAGAGAGACAGAGACAGAGAGCGAAAAAGATATACTCATACAAAAAGCATCTTGTGTCGTTCTCAGAACATTAGAGAACAATGATGCTTAACAATATTGTCAAAGTATGGACATACACATCAGAAAATCAAAAGTAGATTTTTTTGCTACTTTTTTGTTTAGTTAAATGTTGCAATAGATAAGTAAAGAATTGTATATGATCTCTTCTTTAATGTAAAAGAGAAGAGATGATTAACTTTGTTACATAGTATTTATATTATTTACTCTGATTACAGCGTCACACACAAACAACGATTTATCAATAGGTGAATGGACAATGGATGAACATACATCAGGTAAGAAGAACATTTTTTGATAAAATTAATTTATTTTCGACGAAGAAGAGAAGTAAATATACATTTTTCATATAAAATTGATAATTTCCGTCAAGTCTAATAAACCGTTAACAATCAGATTTCTTGTTTGATATAATGTGATTCTTAAGAAGAAACAATCAATAGGATATATACTCACATTCTAGTTTAGAAAAAACAACAACATACTGTTGAATTATATGTGAAAAGTGACAGTAGTCCGATGAAGTTAGTGAATGGAATATGTAATTTTTGTTTTATTGTTTCATAGAGTTTTAAAGCGACATATTAGCATCAAATTATTAGCCAAAGGATGTATCAGTCATTTTTTGACAAAGTAAATTTCTATTGCACTTTTCTCAAATCATGTAAGTAAATTATTTATTATTATTAAATGGAGAAATTCAGAGGAATCTTAGAAGAAAACATTTCAATTGGTTAAGTAAATTATAACATAGATCGGTAGCCGCTTTCACTGATATTTTAGATTGCAATGAGGTTTTTTTTTATTAGAAAGAAAATTAAAGACCTTTTAGTTGAAAAGAAATCAAGAAGTATTTTTCTAAATCTTTGATAATCTGTTTAATTAAATGAAAGACGTAAACATTCTCATTATTTCATATTGTACTGTTTATGTTTACGTACAAATTTATTCTCCATTGCTTTTTGTTAATCGACGTGTTTGGAATAATAGTAGTCTATAATTTTTGTGTGTTCGCTTCTTAAAACTGCATAATCGAATTCAAGAATTACACAAGAAAACAAATTTTATTTTTTTTTTTCGTATGATTAATGATGGTGGCGGAAATAAGCTATTTGAATATCAATTATTATTCTCTAAGGATAAATTACACCAAGATTATGAACTCTGTTGCTGAAAATTGCTCACTTTCTTCGTATTTATATGTATGTTCTTTAAAAAAAAAGAAGCAAGATAAGATAAGAAACTTTAAATTATTAATAGATGTTGCTATAGACTAGTTCTAATAATAGATGTTGGTGTTCTATGTTCCTCTCTTTGAAACAAAAAGATTTTGTCAAGATAGAACCATTTTCATTCTACTTTCTTTTTTGCCCAGCAATTATTAGTTATTTTCTTCTTTTTTTTCCGTTTTATGTTTTGACGTTATTTTTTTTTCTAATAAAGTAAAGACACAAAGAGAGAAAGAGAGAGAGAGAGAGACATTTGGGTTTTCGGTAGCTGAGAGATTGAATGACTTGCGTGATTTTGTTTTGTTTTTTATTTTTTCCTCTTTAGATGAGGGCCATGTATTAAAAAAAAAGTGTATCCTTTTGAATATTATTCATAGAACTGAAATTACTGTCCCCATTCTTTCTCCTATATATTCTCAAAGTGAATTTTGTTTAATGTCTTATCATTACTCTCTAATTACCAGGATCATTTTACTTCTCGTTTGCGTGTTTTTTACATCCATCATCACCATCTTCAATCTTATCTCAAGTGCGTATGATATCTTTGACAATATGCACAACTAATTGGGTATTGAAACATATTATTATTTCTGGTTTTTTTTTCTTTCTCTTTTCTTCACAAGAGTGGTGATCTATATATGTTCTAACTGGTCCTTGGGTATCAAAATAATAATGAAAAAAACTTTTAGTCTAATTCATATAAAATTTGGTGATATTAGTGGAAAACAATATAATACTGATATCGACTATAATAAACGACAGATCAACACATCAGATGATGCACAGGAAAGAGGACAAAAAGGTACTTCATGACTTTGTTGACATATTTAATTATGATTAAAGTGATTTTTCACCTAAATAGGAGTATATAGAAATTAGGCATGTTTGTATTTCAAATTTGAATGTATAAGATCTTGAAATAGTTTAAATATATTGACATTCTTTGACTTTTTTATGTTTCTTATAAAACTAAGTATATTTAATATAATTGAAAAACATTTTTGTAAAATCATTTTACACAAGAAGCGAGCTTTCGATAAGAAACAAAAAAAAAAATGAAATTAAAAGACAAATAAAAGAGACACTACTGACGCACGAACAAAAAAAGCTAGCCTACAATGATATTTCATTAAAGACAGTGATATTCGATTAGACAGAGTGTCTAGAAAATAACAGTCCAGAATAGAAAAATGTAACCGTCACTCGATTGTATACTACATATTTATTTATGTTTAAGTTTTTCTAGTATTTTCGTTCTTTGCTGTTTTAACTAGTATGTATATTCATCTCTCTTCTAAATTCACAGTCATATTAGCCTGATGATGATACTGTGAAGTATCGAAAGCTCGCTTCTTGTGTAAAATGATTTTACAAAAATGTTTTTCATTTATATTAAATATACTTGAAATAGTTATAAAACAGTCTTGCTGTAAAGTAAATGAGATATATTTTTATGATGAGTGTTTTTGTTAGTGAATGCTTTATTCAAGGCCGTATTTCTGCTTCTTACAACAAACCTTCATATTCTATATTTCCAACAAAAAGCTTAGCAGATCAATGTATTTCCATCGGCCTATTTCAATAATATAGGCTTCCTTGAATTTTGTATTACAAATAATTTTTCAGTCTTCAGAAAGAATTTGTATATGCAGTTTCGCGTAGTAAATGACTGACGCTAAGAAGGACTATCTTCTGGATATTGTGATTTGAGATTTATTTGTCAGTAATGTATATAGAAAGGTTTTCTCCCATATTGCTCATAAAATATAAATCAGTTTGTCAGAGCAGACACAACTTCTATCAAATGATTTTTAATAGTTCAATGTCTCAAGACAAGAGGTCAGACAGACAAAAATTATCCATGTTCTTATTATTTTTGTATAATGTAAATATATGAGGTGATTAAAATCGTACAAGTCAGTGTATAAAATACTGTCGTAAAAATAAAGAGCATCAACTGACTTAATAAATGGTAATTTGATGTATAGAAATTTTCTTTTAGCTGAGCGCTTAAAGGCATATCATTCTTTTCAACAACATTTATAATATAATCCAAATAAAGATGTCTCCATTGATACACTCCAAGAAGATAGAAGACAATAGGGATTCTATTTCTCTTCTATAACAAATCTGAAATGAAACGTTCTTTATTTGACGTCTTTCCAATAAAAGATTTTCTCTTATGGCTTATACTATTGTCACGTAGAAAGAAATATCATAAGAAGAATCGAATAGAAAGAAATAACTTATTTAATTGATCGATATAAACAGTGTGAATTAGAACATAGATAATTTCGTTTGTTAGCAATTCGGTCTAGGTAAAGAAAAGTTTGCCGACATAATGATTGTTATTATAACCAAAGATAAATATTAGAGTAAGATCATAAAATAACATGTTAGAATAATTTCTGTCATGTAGCAACAACGTAAATCTCTAGGGACATAGAGTAAAGTTATAAAAAGAAAACACGAGATGTCCACAGACGATTGATAATGAGTCATTCGAAAAAGTAAGATTGTTTCTTAGAATAAAGTTGTCATATAAATTACTAGTCAAAAGTATTCGAACCTTGAGCACTAGAATAATTATTCATTTAAAGTTTTATGTTTATGTATAGGTCGAAATATGTTGAACAATCGATAAGCTTCGGTTTGCTTAATTTGATAATTTTCAGGATATATCATTTCATCCATTTAGGGCCATAGTTAAATGTATTTTGTAATAATAGCAGCCATTTTATTTAATTATTTAAACTTTTATGCTACGTTTTGACTTTATTTTGAGTTCGAAACATTGTGAACATTATACTTGACCAAGATAAAATTAAATGCCGCTTACTAGTAAAGAGTCGATATCTATTGCATTTTCTCATACACATTTAAATAATACAGTTAGATCTGTTGCGTTAATTGTCTTTTCAGACCAGTATAAGAAGAGATTGATTAATTTAGGCGAGTGGAGAATAAGAGAAAAGAGAATTTAATTAACACCATATATATAGCGAGGATTTTCATTGTTTTAAATATTTTTCAATGCGATTGTTACATGTATCTTTTTATTTTCTTGAAAATGATTCTATGATAAGTCAAAATATAGAAGAAAAATTCAAATAATCAAGTTGAATAAAATGGCTGCTGTTATTGCAAAATACATATCTCATTTCTACTATTTTTCCATTAAAATGCAAATAACTTCTGATCCAGGGGGAATAATCAATTGATTCTTGCACTGAAATGTAGCGATGACTGTCAGCTATCTATAATATAAATTTCATGTCTTATCTGTTAAAAAAAGCTTATCAGCACAGACCTTGAGTTTAAAGTGTAACTCATCCATTCAAACGTGATGAACTAAGGTGGGGCTGGATAAAACCTATGCCCCGAGTGTGTAGGTTTTGTTTTAATTTTATTAAGAATCTCCCTTAGTTGTTTTGAGTGGCTTTTGAACAATCCGATGCATTCCATTTTATGCTACTACTATGTATATATAGCAAAAGCAATTTTTTATCGGTTTCAAATTCTCAAGTTGAACGGTCTGATTTTGATTGAGTTATATCAGTTTTACTGGAAGAAAAAGTCAAAAATAAACTATGTAGCATGACTCACTTATAAAGTTTGATATCGAGACTAACGAGAATCTGATTCATGGACTCTAATATTTCTGAGTTATATTCCAAAATGTTGTCTCGTTGTTAAGAGAGCGTTTTACTTCTAGAGTGAAATGTTAAATAATGTTTGAAGTTTATACTGTTGCAAAAAAATTGTTCACTTCCTAAAATCTTTTTAAATATCAGCTGAATTATGATTTCTTTATTTTTATTAATTTTAGCTAATATGGATAATAAACATTATTTTGGTCTCTATCTAATAAGAATCAAACATGGCTTAGTTCTATTTGCGTTACTATTAACAGCTTTTCAAGGTATCATTTATTTGATATTCTCATTATTTACGGAAAAAGTAAGTGAAACATCTTGCATTTAATCGATTCAATAACTATTTTTATGTCTAATTTTAAAAACATAGTTATCCTTTGTCTTTGATTGAGAAATGTTGTATGCACAGTAAAAAACTGTTATATGCTTGTTTCGTTTAGAATTCATCACAACTTATTCTTGAAATTGTTTTATTTTCATCCATTTCTTTAATATCGATTATATTTGTTTTATTATTACAACGTGAAAAATTTTTTCAATCTCATTCACAATTATTTTGTTTATCTATTTGGATATTATTAACTCTTTTCTCCATTATACCCATGATACTACAACGATATACATCTCTTATACGTCTAATGGCACCAGTCTCGTTTTCAATCTTATCAATTCATACAACACTACCCGTTGGACGATCTTGGACAGTGTTAATGGCATTAATAACATCTTTAATTCATATTGGCGTTGTTATTGGTACACACTACGTAAAAACACCCTATACAATGCAATTTAAATTGGAGGTTAATGAGATAAGATAATGAAATTATTTTCCTAATAATATTCTGATTTAAAATTTTAGGTGATATGTTTATCATTATTTTTTATCGCAAGTAATTTTTTTGGTTTTTGTCATCGATATTTAACCGATGCTCATCAAAATAAAACATATCAGAATACTATGCGTTGTATTGAAGCACGTTTAAAATTAGAACGTGAAAAAGAACAACAAGAACGATTAATATTAAGTGTAATACCAGCACATATAGGTTAGTTCATTTGTTTCTAGATCTAATTTTCAATATAGTTTAATGGTTTTTGTTATAGCAATTAATATGAAACAAGAAATGTTACGAAAAGTTAAAGAAACAGCTAAATATCATTTTCAATCAAATTATGATGAAAAGTCAAATGCAACAAAAAAAGTGAATATTAGGAAAGCAACTTTTCACGATTTGTATATTAAAAAACATGAAAATGTTAGGTAAAATAGCATTTTTAACTAATAGTCACTGACGCTGTTATAATTAATCTAAAATAATTACTTTATTTTAGTATTTTATATGCCGATATTGTCAATTTTACACCATTATCAGAAAAATTTTCACCACCAGAACTTGTACAAATTTTAAATAAACTTTTTGGAAAATTTGATCAGCTTGCACAGGTAAGATCAATAGATTTGTTTTAATCCATTTTCTGAAATTGCTTAGGAAGACTGCTGATTAGAGAGATGGAAGAAATCTTCAAAAAATCTTTTTTTCAATAGGGACTTAAATTGAGAAAACTTTTTGTACGATGACATCGACTTCTCACACCACTTTTGTCTTCAATAATCGAATACACATTTTAGGAATGTGATTGTATGCGAATAAAAATTCTTGGTGATTGCTATTATTGTGTTAGTGGTTTGCCGATATCCAGGCCAAATCATGCATCAAATTGTGTTCGAATGGGCTTAAAAATGATTGATGATATCAAGTGTGTACTAAATTCTTCATGCATTTCTATGACAAACTGATCCCACAATGTAGAACAAACACTTTAGTTAAAGTGGGACGTCTCTCAACTCTGAGCGACGTTTTCATGACAATTTTATGAAGAACCCTAACATGTGAACACCCTAGCACTACCGTATCTCAGAATCAGTTCTTGTCTTCGTGACCTTTCGGATTTCCAAGATTAATCCTCCATTTCAAGAGCTAAAAATCTCAGGTTAGTCTTGAAATGTAGCCAATACTTTTCTCTAGAGCGTAACAGAGAGTCTGATTTTTAGGTTTTGAGAAAAACAAAACTTTTCCGAAGAAATAAGATATGCCCTGGTAACTTTTCGAAAACTCTTTGTTTTTCTCAAAACCTAAAAATCAGACTCTGTTACGCTCTAGAGAAAAGTATTGGCTACATTTCAAGACTAACTTGAGATATTTAGCTCTTGAAATGGAGGATTAATCTTGGAACTACAAACGCCTACTTTTTGACCACTATTTCTGAGATAACTCAGGGAAAACTGAAGTTTTTAAAGTTACATGTTTACCTTAATTTAATGTATGCAAGATTAACATTCTACGAAAATTTGATTAGGATTTTGTATCGAAAGTACGTTTCTAAGCGGAGGGAGGGAACGGTCTTAATATCATCTCATGTAATGTTTAATTCGGTTTAGACTTGTGCGAGAAGCAACTGGTGTTGATGTTAATATGCGCATTGGTATTCATTCAGGTGCGTTACTGCCTCACTAACAAATAGCGTGCATAAAAGTCAAATAGTTCTCATGTTTAGGACGTGTTCTTTGCGGTGTATTGGGATTACGAAAGTGGCAGTATGATACATGGTCTGATGATGTTACTTTAGCTAATCATATGGAATCGGGTGGTGTACCAGGGTGAGTTGACTACTTCTTATCAGTGATTTGAGACTAATTTATTTCTTATTGAAGAAGAGTTCATATTTCAAAAGATACGTTAATGAATTTGGGTGATGAATTCGATGTTGAACCGGGGAATGGTCAAGAACGCGATGCATATCTTGCTGAACATAAAGTTCAAACATATTTTATTGTTCCACGAGATGTACCGCAATCTCAAAGCAGTATTATGATGAAGTAAATCATTAGCGCTAACATAAAGCACAGATTGATCTAAACTTTCCTTTTCTTCTCTAGTGGGGGTGATACAAAAAAAATGAGCAAAAAGATGCAAAAATTACTTGATACATGGTCAAATGAAGCACCATTCTCAGAACATGTTGCTGGTAATGATAAATCTGAAGCAACAAAAAGTTTTGTTTTACTCGAAGATAATCTACGACCATTGGCTTGTTCATTCAATTGTGGGTAAGTTAATATTTGAGATATATACTATAGTTTTTTGACTTTCAATAGCTGTTTTTCTTTATAGAAGACAACAGAATACAAATGATCTGGACTGTCTGACATTACAATTCAAACACCATGATGTAAAAACAATGGAAGAAAACCATGAAGAAAATCAAACAGCTACAGAAACAATGTTTCGTTCGTTACCTGAATTACGTTATCGTTATTATGTTATTAACGCCGCATGTCTATTTTTTGCCATCATTATTATACAAGCATTAATATTAGAAAAGTATGGAATCACTTCAAGTTTCGTTTCTAATCATTTTTTTTTTTTTTTTTGTAGAAATCCATTGTATACTGTTGTCGTTATCAGTGGATTATGTACGTTTTCATTAGCTGCCGCATTGTGTGTATTGGATCTCTCCAAAGTAAATCTAGTTATCTAGTAGATAATATATAATTTATATTATGTTTCTTACATTTAGTTTCGACGAAATCACCATCATTCATTACTTAAACGCTCAACATTTTTAGTAACACATTATTATTTTGTTCGTCTTCCAATGACCTTAATACTTATTGTCGTATGCGTCTTGTCACCGTTCGCCACTACGTGGAAAACCGCACAACATTTATCTTCGTCAACAATTAAAAACACAGATTTATTCCTAAATACTAATATTTCATATGGAAGTTTCAATGAGGTTTGTAATCAATTCATAGTTGATCAAAGTTATAGGAAATGCACAGATAAACATAATCATTAAGAATAAACAGTAAAGAGTTATTTTCTTCACTATTATCTGTCTGTTTTACTAATACTGATATTATCCTAATATTCTTTCTTTTAGACAACAAAATCATTCCCCACCATCTTTTCTGATTCATCACATGTTACATTTGAATTATGTCCTCATTTCGAATTTCATATATTATTACTACAATTAGCCGTATTAACAGTTTCGTCATTTATGCATTTATATTTTTTGCATAAAGCATTTATTATGGTATTAACCGTCTCGTTGTACGTGATATATTCATATTATTCTGACATCTATTCGATAGTAGCTAATAATCACGATATAAAAAGCGCATATCTATTAACTCAAATTACTGCTGAACTCATATTTTTTGTCTTGTTATTATATGGTCTAGATAGAAGGGTAAGAAAGAAGAAAAAGGAAATCAATAGATGGCCATCCTTTTACTATAAAATGAAAATAATCTGTATCCTGCTAATGACAGAGAATTATTTTTTGTAGTAGAATTAATGTGACTGAGATAATGAAAACGTTCTTTGCTATCGAGAAGTATGACATGTTTAATTACATAATAGAGTGCAAATTCCCAACAACGTCGTTTTTTCAAGCATTTAAAATAATTTAAAAAAAGTGAGAGAAATTCTATAATAATAGTCAAGCACACTAATAGAACTATTTGCTAGTAGAAAACAGCTCGATGTTCGTTCATAGTCTTTATTCTCATTGGTTTGAATCGGAAAAAAAGCACAAGTGTCGTAAAATAAAACGTAAAAACAGTGTAAAATCTGTGAAATTTCTTCATCTATTTTAACAAATCTCAGTGTTAACATGTGAAAGAAAAAGTCCTATAGATTTACGGTCATCCTATTTATTTGTAATAATCAATAAATCGCCTTTTTTCGAAAACATAAATAGATTTAGGTTAATTTATATCTCAGTAATTAGCCAATAGCAGAAATATTTTGAACTGACGATTCTGTAATGGTTAGAGATAATATTCACTTCTAAACAATTTCTTCAAAGTCGTCTGCAAAAAAAGAATCCTGTTTTTAAGTCTGAATGTTTTTACATGAAGAATCAGTGAAATGTACTTATATAGCTACAGACCAAAAATTCTAACGAAAATCTCTATTCTGGTATAGATTGAATATATGAGTCGACTCGATCTTCTTTGGACAGTAAAATTTCAAAATGAAAAACTTGAAGTAGAAACAATTAGTACAATAAGTAGACTATTGTTAGAAAACATTCTACCGAAACATGTAGCAGAAATTATTATCAAAGAAAATATGAGTCAGGTATGAATAGTGGATGGATAAATTGCCACCATGGCTTTAGCACTTTTTTGTCACTTTAGGGACTTTATCATGAAAGTTATGATAATATTGCCGTGATGTTTGCATCCATACCAAATTTTAAAGAATTTTATGTACAATCAGATGCGAATAATGATGGATTAGAATGTCTGCGTTTATTAAATGAAATCATTGCCGAATTTGATAAAGTATGTAATAAATAGCTTTTTTCAGGAAAATAAAAGTCGTTATGTGTAAGCTGTTTTAGCTATTAGAAAAAAATAAGTTTAGCTGTGTGGAAAAAATAAAAACAATTGGCAACACATATATGGCGGCGGCTGGCCTCAATCCTGGCGTTGAACATCGAATGGTATGCAATAATGGTCTCACTCTATATCAGATTGTTATCATTTATATATACTTATGTGTTTTAGACACGGGAACGTTATAACCAAAATGTCGTTGCTCTAGCTGAATTTGCATTTGCTATGAGTTCCGCTTTAGAGTCAATCAATCGTGATTGTTTCAATGATTTTAAACTAAGAGTTGGTATGTACTGAAAGAAAGTAGAGTTAACAGTATCGTTAAAAGTTTTTATTCGCAGGCATGTGTAATGGACCAGTCGTGGCAGGTATTGTGGGTGCCAAAAAGCCTCAATATGATATTTGGGGTAACACGGTCAATGTGGCTTCACGAATGGATAGCACGGGTGTATTAGGTGCTATTCATGTGAGTATGAACATTTTTGAAAAGGTTCCTCGTTCAATAATTCATCCACGCAGTCTGAGATAAATTTAATTTGCTAAAAAAATCCTAGATTTAGAAAAATTACCTAATTTTTTTCACGGAAATTTCTTAACATTTTTATCGTAAATGTGACTAGACTATAATTATTGAATCAATGCGAAAATTTTAATTAATCAAAATTCGTAAATTTCTCTACTTTATCATAAATATATTGAGTTATTTACAACATTTGTCTTTTGTCTAAGGTACCCGAAGAAACACACCGAATTTTATTCGAACATGGTTATACATGTGAATGTCGTGGACCAATCTTTGTTAAAGGAAAAGGAAATATGACAACTTATCTAATTCGTCCAAGAGGCTATGTACAAAAGAGAGTTTCCACTAATGAATCATCAAATGATCGATAAAGAGAAATGTCTAGATATCCGACAATTCATCAAGTGATATATCAACAGTGTAGATGGATTCATATTGAATTATTGTAATAGATGATCGAGTTTTGTATCGCCGAAACATAAAAAGCAGCAACATCGGGCACTTTTGTAAAACATATTATAAACAAAACCTAGCATAGTGAATAAAACCATGGTCCATTAAATGTGGAGTGAATGGTTAAAAATATAAAAAGATAATATATTGGAGTTCGATTAATCATAAATGAAAAATAGACGTAGAGTTCGAAAGCAGAGCAGATAAGATCGTATACGTAGGTAAAAAGCTTTTACTCTTATATTTTTTATTTATTCTGTATACATGATGAACAAAAATGTCCAATTTATCTGTTATACAGAATCGTAGAAACGGAAGGTTAGTACTTGTCTAGATAGAGTCACAAATAGTGGAATATTCAGACCCTTTTGCGTGAAGAGTAAGTTCTGAGAAGAGCAACCATTGCTTATTTGTCAGTCAATCGTATTACTGCTTCTAATTAAATCTTTCTTACCCTTTAATGACTTCAATCATTTCAAGGAACAAAAACATCTTTGATTGTTAAGACTTTTTAATTGTTATTTTTTTTTCTTCTCTTTTTCTTTTTTCCGAACATCTACAGATATTTTTATACAAAAAAAAAACTCTTCAGAAAAGGCACATCTTTACATTATGCAATATTTTTTTAATATATTCCCGTGGCATGTGTGTATTTTTCAGTATTATAATAACTGTTTTATAATGAAAACCAGCAAAGCATACGACAAAATAAATAAATGAATCTATAAACAATTGCAGAAGAAAGAGAATCAAAAACACATTCATCGGGAAACAAATAAAAGACAAACAAGTATGAAATTTTAGAAAAAAAGACAAAGTTCTGGTCAAGTTAAAAAATCTGACATAAAATGAACATATAGTAAAACAGTCGATCAAAGAAGTGAAAAATAGCTTTTTTACTTTTCTTTTCTTCGTGGCATAGATGTTGTTGGTCGCTTTGCTGTAAAATATAAAATATTAAAATTTATCAAAATTTTATATATTTTTTTTCTCGAAAATTTACTTACAATAATCCACAGATTTTGGTCTATCTCTTGCACTTGTTTGACCACTATTAGCATTCTCAGATAGACCTCTATTTCTAAAAGAAAAAATAAAAACGTTTATAATTATTCAACAAGAAAAAAAATGTAAATTTTACTGTAATAATGTGCGCTTTTCTTGTTCAGTAAGTATTCGTTCATCGGAAAACAATATCGTATTATATGGTACTTCAGTTGTTTCACCATTTGTACCCGTTCGATCTAAAATTCCTGTCCATACTAATAAATCATCTACTAAGAGCTAAAAAGAAAATATTTATATTATTTTATCTAACATAAATTGTGTTCTTCGTGAACATACTGAAAATTCGCGAACTCCTCGATTAGGTGTTTTCGCATAGTTCCATATTTTAATCATTGAAACAGATGTTGGCCGATCAAATATAACAAATATGCGATTAAACTATAATTTTAGCATAAAATAAATTAACATATAGAAATAGAGTTAATCTTCAGAAATAAATTTTACATACTACTCCACTTAGAATTGGTGAAAGCCATGCATGAGCGCCATCTATGTCATTATTTTCTCCATCTATTAGTTTGTCGGGTGTTCTTATATCGGCCACTGAAGGATTTAAAGTATTTATACTATGTGGATAAGCAGCAATATCTAAATATAAAAAAAGTTATGAATCAATCGTATTTTACATATAATTCAACTATTCATACTATTCTCAGTTAAACCAATTTCTTCTCCATATTTATCATAAAACTCAATTCCGTTTAAGCCCACGTAATACAAATCCCCATAGGTCGATAAAATATGAAATTCATAGATGACTGATGAAATTTGTCAAAGACTTTATAACATCAATAAGAAACTTTTTATATTACTATGATAGACAAAAAGAAAAAGGATACATCCATTTGGTATTGATACATTTGAATCAATCTCCTTCGAAATTGTTGATATTCTAAACAGCAAAGTTTATAAATAAACGACGTTAATTTTTTAATTTCCTATAATAATATAGAATTCAAAAAATTTCAAAGAATACCTAGTATCATTTTGTTTTGAACGAGAAGCCTTGTTTCCATTATAGTCAGTTTTTGCTTGTGAAAAAATAATTTCTTGACAAAAGTCAAAATAAGTTTGACCAGGTGCACGACGAATCAAAAATCCTTGCTTAGGTGATATAATTTTATCATCCAATTGAACATGAAGACGTTTTACCTAAATACACATACATGAGAAATAATCAATTTGTCAAACATTTTACCATTTCAAGAGATATACTCACACCACGAAAAGTATCGTCCGGTGATTTATTATAATTCCAGATTCGAAGTCCATGCAGAGATTTTGAGCTACTGAGAGAAATGAATATTCGAACTTTTTCCTTTTTTGAAAATGGAGTTAACCACATGTGATTATCTGAAGTTGTTACATTTTCTCGATCAAATAATCTTGAAAAGGAAAGTGAATACATTTTACTATAAAATGCTTTTTTTATACTAAAAACTTTAATATACTTGTCTAATGTTCGTGTATCATTTGAATTTTTTGGTAAAATTGTAACGTCTCGTGGTCGTGCATCAAACGATTGAATCACACATTCTTTATCAGACGTATCAACAACTTCTAATCCATTTAAACCAACATAGGAATCATCTCCCCAATTTTCATTTATTGTTAAAATGAGCTCTAATTAAATTAAAAAAAATAATAAATTGTAACTATCTTCTTCATCTCCTATAAACAACTCACTTTTCCCACAAAATTCTGCTGCATCATGCCCTGCCGTTGGTCTCAAGGCTGTAAATGGTCGTCTTAACATCGCTTGAGTCATTGGACGCACATCATTTCCCGCTGTAGGTGGTCGATTACTATTCTCAGTATCTTCAGGTATCACTTCTTGATCAACATAAATTGGATCATATTCACCAATTTTTTCCAATATATCATCATCGGTGGTAAACAATATTGTTTCCCCATATGAAGAGAAATCATCTGTCGACACGATTCCTCCACATGCTTGGTTAATTTCTCCTCTAAATATTGAATGTCCATCAAGTGTAATTTCAACATCTTTGACACCACGTGCCGAATGTATTCGAGATTTATTATAATTCTAAATTATCAAAATTTAACTTTAAAAAGTATAAAATGAATAAGATTAATATAACTTACCCAAATTCGTATCATTGCTATTTCTGTTGGTTGTTCAAATGTAATATAAATAAAATGATCTTGACCAGCTGTAAATGGAGCAAGCCACATATGGATATCATCACGTGTTTTATTGATACCATTAATTAAATTTTTTACCACTCTTGGATCATCACCATATTCTGGCAAAATATTAATGTCTGGTGGATCTGCTGTTATCTTCAAAAGCAAAAATCTCATAGAAATACTTTTTCTTTAAATAAGAATACTAAATTTACCTTTCGAATAACAACTGGAAAACCTCCACTTGAAAATATTTCAATTCCGTTTAAACCAATATAATGTCGATCGCCCCATGACGTCTTTAAATTGAATACTAATTGTTGACCTTCAGGTAATTCTGGTATAGTAAATTCATTATCGTGAACATTGCTAGTGTCGTCGTCCTCATGCCATTGTTCACCTTTTTTTACATTCACATTTTTAAAATAATCGTCCACTGATTCATCTAAAACCAAAATTTCTAGAAATTGTATATATTCACCAATATAAATATAGATTTGTATTACTTGTATCGTTATTTTCTAACATTCCACGATGTCTACGACCAAACATAGCGATTTGAGTTATAGAACGTTCGAGCCAATCACTCGCTGGACTATTACATTCTAAAATAAATCAAATATTGTAAGATCAATTCGATAGTCAAATCTCATTCTAGTTACCATTTCGATTAGCAGCAAATGGTTTTCGATTAATCGATGATAAAGTGCTTGATTGATGATTTGAAAGAACATCTGTAAATTTTTTTTCCTCATAATCAAGATTTGATGTAACGTGAAATTCTCTTAAATAATTAAAGTAATTTTAAGTAATGCTATTTTTTTGTACTTAAAACAGAGTTCATACTTTGGTGTTGGAAAATTTTCAAGATCGAGACTATCGACCATTTTTGACTTGCGTCGTTGTGGTATTTGATATGCATTATTCGTAAGTTTATTTAAATCTGAGCCAGCGAGCCGATGTGATGGTAAAACTAAAATCAAATACAAATATTTTTGGATAAAAAAATAATAATAAATACAATTGAAAATCATCTTATTAATATATGATACACGTTAAAGGTAAATTTCTTACTCAGTTGATTGTCGCCTGTTTTGGACAATTTTTTATTCCATATTATCTGATTGTTGTCACGACGATTCATTTTTTTGATGAATTTTTAGAATAGATGATTATTTTTTGGAAAAAAAAGATCTATGTGACACTATTTTTTTCTCTTTATGAAATAATTAATTATAGACAGAAATATAATGATAAAGTTAAAATTATCGTTTGTACATAATGTCCAATTTTACATATTCAAAAACAACTTTTTGATCCTTTTATAGAATTTATTTTTATAGTGTGCTTTCGTTGAGTTATTGTTTTTCGGCTGATTTTTTTTTTTATAATTTAAGTTGAAGATTTTTCACGTGTAAAGAAGTGTAAAAAAAATGAAGGAATGAAATTTTTATAACTATGAGTGTCTACATGATAGTGTGGTAGTCTATTGATTGACGTTGCCATGTTCCTTCTCGTCTCCAACTTAAAAGAAGAAGAAGAAGAAGAAGAATAGGTAAGATTTTACTTCTCGAAAGTAAAAAGAGAAAGAACACACACAGATTTTATAATTCTACTCGCTCAGCATCAGTATCATCGACAGTTACTTTGTTCAACAAGCAGACACATTGTGTTCAGTTTTTTCTTTAAAAAGAAAGCCATACAAGAACAGAGTTCAATATTTTATTCATCATACTAACCCTCTCATACGGAAAAAATAATCAACTATGCATGATTAAATGAAACGTTCAACATTACTGAATATTTCATAAATACTTTTTTTTTTACATTAAAGTTATTAGTTTGAAACTATATGATAGTTTACATTAAATTTATATTTTATGCGAAGATCAACACTTTGTACTGTTTAGTTAGAATAACTATTATGTTTTCTTTTCACTTCAAAACAGAAACAAGAATCCTTCAAGTATTTTAGATGCGTTTCGATTCGATTGATTTTCAGAGATATTCTATAGAGTTTTAGTTAAGGTTTTCAGACCTCCTTTAATAAAAAGAAGTCCATAGTCTTGGCTATCCAATGACGAAAACCATAGATTTTCATCTTTCTCATTCAAACATGATTCAAAAAATATAAAAAATTACGGCTTATTGCTACACAACAAAAAAAGCAAAGTGCCGTTTCTCGAGTGTGCCGTCGAGACCGTTTTAGGGGAATTCAAAATTGTACGATGAAAATGTGTAGTATAAATGGTGGACTACAAGCAGCATACACGGAATACAAGATTCATCCCGCTTGCTGAGTGAGAACATTGCATTTTGATCAAAATGACAATTCCAGAATCTGAATTCTCATGAATAATACCACTTTTGATCTTTAAACTTTTACCAGTGATACTTTCACATATGTTCTATTTGGTACGATGACTGAAAGTGTCGAGTCTGGTTTGATTTCAAATGAACAGATCTTCTGTCAAATTCAGGGTTGGAATTTTCAGTACATCATCCACTTATTCCAACAGAAGCACCAATAAAACTCGAAGTAGTACACAGTATGCGGTTTTTATGAAGATAATATTCTCAAGTCTCGGTGAAACATCACTATCGGAGTACATATATTCAAATTTGATCACTCTTCAGGATAGCGATAGATGAGTTAAGAACATGTAGCCCAGACCTAACGCTGTCGACAGGATTTCAATCCAGACCTGAACTCAACCTGTCAAAGATATTTTTTTTGCAAATGTTCAATTCTTCTCTTTGACATCTGGACAATTTAGCCTTCTGTATAAGGATCTGTATGTAATAATATCTGTATTAGTCAAGTTTCTTTATTCAACAGTGATGTTTTCTTTTATTTTTCTCCACGACATGAGAACAGTGAAAAAGGGTCCGATTCGATGGTCAAAAAGTCATTCCCAATCCGACTGATCATAGAATCGAGTCACAAAAATCCAGATGTTATTATTTTTTTATTTTTGTTCATAAAAGATCAATTATCTCAGTATTATTTCAACTTTTTAGTCTGTGGTATTTCGCTGATTAAAATCTCTAAAACAAAAACATTTTCTCTAGACAATATTCTAAAATGTTGAGCCCTTTCAGTCGTATGTTATACGAAACAATCTCTAATCATTTTTTTTATGTTTTTCAGCAACTTTTCTTGAAGAAAAACAATGTTTTTGTAGCGTTTTTTAAAGCTGTTTTTGTATTGCTGTGGTTTTTGAATCACGAAGAAACCGAGGGCTATGTGTGCACACAGAGACAGACGTTAGATTCACTTAAACAGCATATTTATAGAATTATTTATAATCAAGAAACATTACTCTAAATTAACAAACTCCTTATAAAATCGTTCATGGTCGAAAAACCTGCAAAAAAGTGTTAACCAATTTCTTCAATTATGTTTTTAGTTTTTCTCAAATCGATCTATTGCTTTCAGGTTTTTTAACATTTTCCAAAAATCTTCGTTCTGATAAGTCCATGAGGTTAGTTTCTAATTGAAGATAACATAGATGGATAAATCCGTATTTTAATCTCACTTTTGATTTTTACTGAGAAATAGATTTCTAAGGAACTCAACAGGTGTTTGACTTGTAGCGCTAAAATCAATAGAGTGAAAACTCAAAAAGCCAGTTGTATCTTCCTATAGCAAAATGTATCGTTGTCAACTTGAAACTAGCCCAAGCTCTCAAGTACTTATCTAGACGGGGATTTTGGAAGACGAAAACAGTTTTATTTTGATCCTTATTCTAGGATATCTTGAACGATAATAGATAGTAACAATATTATCATCTTTAACACAAGCAATACTCTTTGAAAGTTTGATTCAGATCTAACGTATTGGACTCGAGATTAAAAAATAGAAAGGGGAAGAATTAAAGTTATCGGTTAATGACTTTCAAATAATAACTCTTCTACTAAAATATTGTTACTGTTATTACAATGGTGTTACTAATAATTAATAATTCTTTATCTTTTTCCATCTTACCTACCTACCATTGTATCCTTTGTGACACTTTTCGCTTCCTCATTAGTGGATTGTGACTTGTGCATTGCTTCATTTTGTTCAGAAGAGATTGTTTTGAAACTATCACGTAGATCTTCTATCATTGTTGAATTTTTACTATTGACTACTGACTGCTGTTGTGTGTTAATATTATTACAAATCTACGAGAGAGAGAGAGAGAGAGACATTTTATTATGTTTTTATGATGTATTTACTGATAATAAAATTTATTTGCTTTCAGCGTGATATCTTACCAAAACATTTTTGACAGTATTCTTGCGCTCTGTTAAGTCATCAGAAGATATGGCTACAAGGAACAGATGATGTTTGTTAGAAGAATTATATTTACGACAGTACAAATGATACATACACACACGACTAAGTAAACAATTATCTTGTGCATCGGCATCATCGTCATCATCACTACTGATCTGACAATCAGATAAATCAAAATCTGCTTCACAATTATCTAAAAATTTAATTGGATGTCATACAGTGAGTGAAAAAACACTAATTCTTGAAGGAAAAAAAATTCTAATAGAAACTTTAAAACTATCATTATTGCCGAAAGAAAGAAATCATATGACAGATGTCTAATGATTTACCTTGAATTTGATTTGAATTTGATTCATCATTTTCTTGATGTGTATCAATCGTTTTTGTGCACCAGTTAGGTAGCCAACTTTCTTTTACGTTCACCGGTTCAAAGTTGTAGAAAGGCACATTATCGTAATTTGCTTTCAATTGAGTAGCATTGATTTCAACTGGTTTTTCATCCCAAACTTTTCTTGAACGATTGTGTTCATATTTCGAAGAATATGCTGATGGTGTATTACTCAAGTGTCCATCTTCTGACTTCATTTGTTGTTTTTCATATAACGACTTTGCATGTCTATCACAGTCTGCTGCTGGTGATTGATGAAGATTGAGAGGAAGATCAACTAAAGTTGATCCCTGTTTAGTTTTTATTTGAACTGTTGTATTATTGCTCCATCGACGACGTGATGATGTTGAACATTTTTCATTATTATTATTATTGTTATTATTTGTAATGTTTGTAGTTGATTTTGTTGGAAATTTGAAATCAGAAAAATAAGGCAGAAGAGGATCAAAATTAACGGAAGTGTGATTTTGATTATTGCTCCCTGAAGAAGAAAATCCAGATTAAACTTTTCAATCTAAAAGAGAGCGCTATTTGATTACCTCGTATCGATGATGGACGTTTTGTTGGAGGATTGTGTGCCCCATTAATATACAACTGAAATCCTATTTCACGTTGTTTTAAACCGTTTTCTTGTCGACGCAATAACTTTAGTAATCTGTTTGAAGCAAGAAAAATAATGATGTTAAAAAAACTTTGAAAAATATTCCAACTTGCTCATGATTGCTGATGCTTTCTATTTCTTAAACACTTCTATGTTATTCTCCTTCAAAACTTAGCTATCACGAAACACGAGATATCAGTTCCAAATACTTCTTTCATAACGTACTTGTTTCTCTCCTGCAAATTTATTAGATAATTATCATGTTTGGTGGGTACATCTTCTCGATGGGCTTGGATCTACAAAACAAAAACGTGATGAGCAAATAAGTTTTATTCATAATAGAATTTTAGGAAACATACTGCACTTTGACTTCTAACAATACGTAAAGAATTTTCCATTTTATTTTATAATTAATACAACTACAATATTAGATTATTCAACGAATTTAGATCTATTAATTGATCTCTCGCAAATAATTCTCTAGCCATAATGGTATTTACAAGTTATCTGTTTCCCTGGAAAGCATTCATAAAGTAGTATGACGCGTATATGCAGACAATCTTTGCTTAGGATTTGATTAAATTATTTGTTTTGAATAAAATATGCAAATTTATTCGCGAGGATACTGAAGTAATCTACAACATGCCGTTCACTAGCAGATGCCGCTTTTTTTCTAAGACGCAATTGGCCAGCGTTAACAGCCAATTAAGAAGCAGCGATGGTGTAAGATCAGATCAGTATGAGAAATTTTTCTATTTCACTAATAAGATGGCTGTCATTTCAGTTATTCGCTTCACAAGCGTAGGTAATTGAACTAAAAAGCGACTGAACTCTCTATGTTTGTAATTTGAGTGAATGAAAACTGATCAGACAACTAGTTTTGTGGGCACACGCGCTCGCTTCTCTTTTTTTGATAAAACTTTATTCTGAGGTGAATATAGCCTGATGTACAACTACAAAATAAGACCACTTCCAGTGTTCTACGACCTTTATTACCACAGGCTATGAATTTCTGAAGTTTTTACTCAAGAACATGAAAAACGTCAATTTTTGTAGTTATCTAAAATTTTTGTTTCATGCGCCTTCAAAATTTCACTTTCGAAAAATAATCAGTTGAATATTATGTGAAATACTCATAACACTAGTGGTTCAAATTCAGTTATGCTCTGACCTCTCGAAAAAAATGCTTTACGCGCTTCTAATGCTTTTTTAGCTTCAATTTTCGTCGTAAGAAGTCTTTTTATCGTCTTTTTATATAGCATTTTCGGCATATTTTGCGTATCTCGAGAAGAAAAGTATACTTCTCGAAAAAAAGTTAGAACCTTAAATGAAATCTGAAGTATTCATGGTAAAAATTTGGGTTCAACTGGATATTTTCTTCCACCTTTCCCAATAGTGTCAGCAAAATATTTGGCTTGTCAAGTCACTCGATTAGGATAGAAAAGAGGAATCATTGGCTTTTTTGTTTGATTAGCTATTGAAATAAACCCGTGAGTTGTCTTTTAAAACGTAAACTTTTGAAAGCACAATATCAGTTTTTCAAGTGCTGGGTGTGATCTATGTATCAGATTGTTGAAATATAGTTTAATTCGTTTTGAAGTGGAACATAAACCGCGCTAATATTTATATTGAAAAGTTCGACTTTTTGGTAAATAAATAATTTTATACAAGTCTTAAACGAATTAATTAAACTTATCTGTTTTCAATCGTCCAAAATTCGAAACGAGCTAATGCTGATTTATTGAGGTCTGTGTTTTTAAAAGCTTTTTGGTACGGAATTCATTTCATGACAGAAAACAGTGATCGTTGAGCTAAGAGTATTTAAACTAATTTTGTTCGTTTTCAATGCTTCTTTTCAACTTTGCTATTTGTGATAAGTTGATAATCACATTTATTGTGTTTTTAGATTAGAAGATAGAATGACTACTTTGTCTGGTTTTTCTGTGCAATGGGAGTGGGAAGGTAATACGTTTACTTTGACAACAAAGAGAAATTTAAATAAATCTGTTTACAATTTCAACATGGTTAATTAGAATTTTATTTCAGGTGACAAATCTCAGTGGCAACAATATCCTCTTGAGATTCAAAAGGAAATATCCGATGCGTGTGAGGGAGGCAAAAAATCGGTAAATTTACATCGTACGTCGTGTCTGCTGTTAAAATATCGTTTCTTTTTGTTTTATAGGTAGAGATTAATGCTACAGACGAAATCAAAATGATTATTCAGTTTGACTCTATGGTACATACTCGAACCTAGATCTTTATTAATATTAAATTTGTTAGAATAACTCTTTTTTCCATGTGATAGGTTCAAATGAATAAGAAAACAAAATTTCAGCGCCGTATACGTTTATGTATTGAAATCGAAGAGAAAAATGGTAAATTTTATTACAGCTTCTGTTTGACTTATCAAATGTTGTTCTTCCCACCATCTTAATAAAAGTATAGTTTCAAAATATAACTACATGTTTTTATTCGTTTTCCAAGGTTTTTACGTATACGAATGGCAAAATGAACATTCAAAATGGTATCCCTATGATGTTTCGATTATGTTGGATATAGCTGATGTATTGAAACAAGAAAAAACGTCACTACCATTTACGGTTGCTGGAAGGAATTATAAAATTGATCTAGATAAGATGGTACAAACAAATGAAGCTACTGGACTTGAAAGAAAAGTTCATTGTGTTAAATCAAGTACATGAATGGTCTTTCTTTTCACTCATACACGGAAAAGTCAAGTGTTTCTTTGTTTCAGTGGCGAAAGTTCCATCAGCAACCACGGCATCAAAACCATCCACATCGTTACGATCCACAGCAAGCGCACAAAAACGATCGATGGAAGAAAATAACGTCGATGATGAATCTGGTAATGTTGTAGCGAAAAAAAAGAAATCTGTATCTGCTTCAAAATCAGCACAAAATCAAGAAAAAACCGCAAGTAAAAGAGAGAAACGGCATGTTTAGTAGTCAACGTAAGAATTATAAGATCACATGGCTTGCGTATTTAGTGAAAACAATAACGACGATTGCTGGAAAAGTACCTGTTGATTCTGAGTGTACAGAAGCCAACACAACACATGTTTACAGTGAAGGTGAAGATGCCTGGGATTGTATGTTAAATCAAGTAAGTTTGCGAAATCTGATATTACGTGTATTTTAACTATTGTTCACTTTTATCTTTTTAAGACAGATGTTGGCCATAATAACAACAAATATTATGTTATTCAGTTATTAGAGGATAATAGTAAAAAACTTTATCATGTTTGGACGCGTTGGTAAGCTTTATCTTTCAATTAGCCTCGTACAGTATCATTAAATCAAACCTTATACAATTTCAGGGGACGTGTTGGTAAAGCTGGTCAAACGGAATTGAAATCTCTTGGTTCTGATCTCAATGATGCGAAAAGAACATTTTGTAAAAAGTAACCTTGAAAAATCTTGATTGAATTAACGGACAAAAAAGAGTAACATTTGTTTGTCTAGATTTAGTGATAAAACAAGAAATGATTGGTATCATCGTGATACATTTGTAAAAGTTTCTGAAAAATATGATTATATCAAACTAGATTTCAGTGCACGAGTATGTTTATTCAATTATTGAAAATCATATAGAAATATTAGTAGTATTTGGCTTTTGGTAGGATGAGATAGAGGAGAAGAAATCTAAAACATGTACCGAACAAAAACCTCCGCGTGTAATACCAGACTCATGTCTTGATAAACGTGTCCAAGAATTGATTAATCTTATTTGTAATATTCAAGCAATGGAAGATGCACTATTAGAAATGAAATATGATGCTAAAAAAGCTCCACTTGGTGAGTGTTATTGATGTCTTGTTGTTTATGAACTATTCTTTAATTTATCATTTCTGTTTTCAAGGTAAACTGTCTTCGAATCAAATCAAAGCTGGTTATTCGGCATTAAAAGAAATTGAAGCATGTATAAAAGAAAATAAATCGAATCAATCACTTATTGATGCTTGTAACAAATATTATTCACGAATTCCTCATGATTGTGGTATGAGAACTCCACCAATAATTAGAAGTCAAGCGCAATTAAAAACTGAAATTGAACTATTAGAAGTATGTAAGAGAAAAATATGGTATTTATCTATCATTAATGTTCATTTTTGTGTTGTATAGGCACTGAGTGATATTGAAATAGCCATTCAAACATTACAAATAGATTCTGATAAACTTAACCCTGTTGATCAACGTTATGAACAGTTACATTGTGATATTCGACCACTTGATGAAACAGATCCAGTATATAAAATAATTAATGATTATTTACAATCAACACATACCAAAACACATCAACAATATAAAATGGAAATTGAACAAATATTCGAAGTTGAAAGAGAGAATGAAGCTGAACAGTTTAATGACGTTGGAAATAAGTAAGATTTATAAACTGATAAACCTAATTTTTTATGTGATTTTTCAATTTTTTAGAATGTTACTATGGCACGGCTCACGTACGACAAATGTTGCTGGTATAATAAGTCAAGGGTTAAGAATTGCACCACCAGAAGCACCGATGACTGGCTATATGTTTGGAAAAGGTTTGTATATTGTTGCTGTAATGTTATTTAATATTTATTAGAATATTTCTTATGTTTCTAGGAGTATATTTTGCCGATATGAGTTCAAAATCTGCCAACTATTGTTATGCAACGCGAAATAACAATACTGGGATTGTTATATTGTCGGAGGTAAGTCTTTTTAGATATTCTGAAACTTTTTTTATGTAGAAAATTGATAATTTCTCTATGATAATTTTGTGAAAACTTCCAAGGATTTGTTCGATTTCCGAAGAAAATAGAAGTTCGAAGGTTAAAGTCACAAACCCTTTGGAGATAGGAAAGATCAAATCGTTTTTACCGTACCTCACTCCCGATTTACAATCCAGGAATGGACGTTTACGACATCCATACTGTAGCGTTTTGGGCGTTTACAACTCCGAAAAGGGAGTTATGACACTTATCCGGTTTTTTTACATTCAGAAAATAATAAAATGTGTAAATATACGCCAGAGACTATTCAGTCACCACTCTCTAGCCTCAATATTTGAAACCTGACTTATCCTGTTCTACGGTGCATGTTTTGCCGTTTCTAACAACCACGCCTGTTGTACAATCATCTCCCACGATGTGCAAGTTTTCACATTTTTGCTGAAAAGCTTTTTGTATTCATCTCTCTGTTCATTTACAGTCTTTTTCTCTTTTATCACATTTCAGGTATCCCTGGGAAAAACAAATGATTTATTTGCCGCTGATTATAATGCTGCTAATTTACCAAAAGGCACATCATCTGTTAGAGCGCTTGGTCAAGTTGCTTCAAATCTAAAAAATTTCATAACATTGTAAGCATCATCATTTCTTTTGCCTTATTTTGGCATAATAAACTGGTTGGATGTTTTATTTTAATTAGAAATGGTGTCGTAGTTCCTATGGGTCCCGGTGAAGATGTAAAAGTTCCTAATCCAAACTTGATTTACAACGAATATATTGTGTATGATACAAAACAAATTCGAATGAAATATCTTATAAAACTCAAATTTTTATTCAAATAAATTTAAAATATTCTTTTATATTTTATCAGTCATTTGTATCTTTTTTTTTGTCGTATAGTTTTTTAATGTTCCTCATTTATTACGGTCTGTACTGTTTATACTTAATTTTTCTACAAGTATCTAACTGTACTGGTAAAATGTGGACTCACTGGTTTTTAGTGTCTATTTCGTCCGTCGTTTTATTCTATTTTTGATGTAAAAAAAGAAATTGCTTTATTTTTTAAAGAAAAAGAATCGCTTTGTTAGATTTTGAAGTATATTAATCAAGTCAAACTACAATTACTAAAACTCCAAGAAAAAGTGGCCAGACTATTTGTTCTAGTCTCTGAAAGAAAACTGTTGTTGTTCAAGGGATCAATCTAAGTTTGATGAATAAAAAGTTTTTTTTCATTCATGAAACTAATCAGTCGTGGCAAAGTTTTTTGTATATTTCATTATGACATGTGTCGAACTATTTTAAAACATGATTGTAATTGAAGACTGTCGCAAAAATCCACTCTTTTTATCCATTAACTGCTCCGCTTACGACATTTTTTAAACGATATCATTTAAGTAAGATGACAATGTTTTGGGAATATTTGAATTTACTAGAATCAATCCAACTGTGTTGAAATCTAAAAAACAACACATATCAACAAAATTTTTGAAAAAATTTTATATGATTGTAAAACATGATGAAAACGCGTATAGTGTGTAGTGAATGAATAACGTCAATAAGTCAAGTCTTATCGAGAAATGATAAATGTTGTAGATCAGTTCACCATTATCAGTGTTGCGGGATGGATTCAATTGTTGATACTATAAATTTCTAGTAATCGAGACAGTTTCGAGATCTAAAGAAACAATGGGTTTCAACAACGAAATATCGGTCACATAACAATACAATCGATTTTGATCGTGGTCATTTGGATTTTATCCATTGTTTCGAACTAATTACTGTATCACACTGAGTTATAAAATACTCTTTCAAGGAATTATCGACTTGTGCTAGATTATCTTACTTATAGAATATTATAAAGAGAAAACATCAACGGTTTGATATATCAGTATTCCTCTGCATCTTTATCGTTATTTACTTTCTCATTCCATTGTACGAGCATCTAGTTGCCGTATACGATCAAATATTTCCGAATTATGGAGAAGAGAAGAAAAGGCACTATCTTTCATTTGCTAGCTGACTGATAAAGTCGACGAAGGAACAAAGAGGTTCGTCTATAATAGTCGAGTAATAAATGCTTCGTCGGTAGATGCCGTGTGAATATAGTACCTGCAATCCATATTTTACCTGTGAATGTTATTACTCAATCACAGAGAATATTCTTCATATATACTTGTTTCATTACTGTAACTAATGGCTGGGAATAGCGGCGTATTCCTGTAACTCAAGCTACTTTGGGAGCCGGGTTGTGTTGAATGGCTTGCGAGTGGGATCACTGTTTGCCGTTGTCTCCTATGTTGATCGAGTGTCCGCACTAATCTTGGCATCAACATGGTTTGACGAGAGGAATCTATCACACCAGGTTGTCTAAGGAGAGGTGAACCGGTTCAGGCCCGAAAGGGAGCAAATCAAAGCCTCTATGTCAAGCGGTAGTGGGATAGCGCTTGTGAATAGGCAACGGTAAGCAGCCCGTTCAATACAGTTGGACCACAATCTTTTTTTGTAAATTTCCTTATCTTAGAATATAATTAAAATTAACTACACTTTCTTTTTTTTAGATTTTGAAACGTTGCCAGTAAAGTCTGAATTATTCTAATTATGGTACGATATTATTGTCAATAAAAAAAACACTAGAAGTTGACGATCTCAATTGAAAACGTTGCACGTTAAACGAATGAAGAAATTGTTTGAAACTATGCAGCTGCTAAGATCTTTGTGAAAAGAATCATTAAATCATTTAAAATAACTAGTAGCTAAAAATTCTTGTACTTGGCGACCAAAGTCTTCCCCATTTACGATCAATGTCTCTGATAAATTTTGTCTATAGCAAGACTCTTGCTCATATTATAGCAAATATTAACTATAATATTCTTTCTGTTCTGAAAATAAGATGTGGTGCAAAAAATTCAACGCTTCACGAATATGGATAAGTTATTTTGAAATTTTTGATAACGGTTAAACTGTGCTCAAATAATACTTCGAATACTCGCAACACACATACAGACTACATAATAAGATTTGTTAAAAAATACAAAAAAAAATAATGCACAAAAATTTTCTCTACATTGTTATGTGAGAAGCGAAAGGACAAAAGAAAAATACATATCTCAAACATTCACTGTTCGATAAATAAATAGAGGATACAAGCGAGAAATGGCATAATTTTATTTCTACTGTACATATTTTTTTACCCCGATGTTCAGGAATGTAAAATAGAGAAAAGTAATATTTTAACTAAAACTATAAAATTATTTTGACATTGTCATACTACTACTTCTAGGAATATTGTTATTCGGTTTATCATCTTCAAGACAAGCTCGAATAAATAAATGTCGCTGTTGAGGAGTGGCTTCATCATGTAATAATGCTAAACTCAAACTCTCTATACAGTTTTGAATAGCTCGACAAGCTTGAGAGCTATCATTCATTTCCATATCCTGTTGTTTTAACCATATTTTTTGAAATAATAATAATAGACGAAAAAATAAATTTCGTTGTTTTTGTTCCAATTGTTCAATTAATATTGACACGGCATTTCTCATTTCATTTGGTATTGGGCCAGATACATTAGATACTGTAAAAGATGAATTGGACGATGGTAAACTATTTTGATTAACATTTCCAGTAGATGAATACTGTGAAGAATTTGTGGTAGCAGGATGATGTGTTCCTCCTAGAACAAACAATGTACGCTTAATTTTTAATGTTTTTTTTTTCTATACAATCGAAATGTCTATAACTCTTTTAAATAGACATTGTAATAAAAATAAAACATTTTCACATTTTTTCTTGAAGCTGTATGCTACATACCTGAATAGTACGATGTGCCTGCGTTAAATATGTTTTTCTGTATTTGAGTACTAACCAATGGTTCGGGTAAACATTGTAATAAATGTATTAACATCATTAACAATTCAGAATTATCAAATTTATCAAATTTATAATTATGATTATAAATTTCATTTCTTAATGGTATCAAATCTAAATTATCTTGAACATCATCACTAAATATATCAATTAAATCGAGTTCTCGATCTTTTAAACAATCGATTAAGGCTAAATATAATGCTGGTGGATCATTTTTCAGCTCTTTTAAATCTGATTGTTTTCCACTACCACCATTGTCACTATTTAAACTCAGTTTTACATCATAGACATATTGATTAGTTCTACTATTGAATAATGTAACTGGAAATTTATCTAACGCTAAGCCAAATGGACCCATATCAAGGGTAACATCTAATGTGATGAATGTATCAGCACCATCTATAAAACAAACAAAATAATTATTGTTCAGATAATTTTATGATTGTTAAAAATGCTTACTTTCAACATGTAATATAAGTATTTCTTTAATTTGTTTTTTATTAGAAAATAATGATGCATATTCTGGTTTAACACTAAATGTAATATCAACTGTTTGCTCTTCTTTAACTTGAATCAATGATGGTATTGCTGGAATAAATCCTAAACAATTGAAGTAATACTCATCTGATCTCAATTGAAATGGTTGTTGTTTAATGGCACCAGCAGAAAATTGTGATGATGGTAAAATGATACAATTTACTTGACATTCTCCAACATTTTTAATCTTAATTTTATATGATGATTTATCCAAATATTTAATATGATCAAATTTAATTTCAGGTGGTCGTGGATGAACATCAATTGTCGGTATTGCATCATTTTCTTCTCGATCAAATTCACGTATCAATTGTTCACGTATTTCATTTGAACGTTTTTCATCACATTGATATTTAATTGTAGCAAGAAAAAGACTACTCACAGGTCTATGATCGCTAAATTTAACACTTTTTGCACAAAAATAATCCAATGGTTTTACAACATCAATTTCATCATCAATTTTTTTTTGATCATTTAAATTACCACGAACTTTTTTACGTTTTACTTTAAATAGAATACGATCTGTCCACGATGGTGTTCGTAATTTTTCACTTGTATCATAAACATCTGTACCCGGATCAAATTTATATGTGGGTAAAAAATCAATCGTATGTTCTTGATAATTTTTAAATACACGATCTAATTTTATTTCACATTTTAATTGATCTGTTTCTTGTAGTGGAATCATTGATAGTTCAGTAATTGCTTTACGAACTTGTTCATTTGCTTGAGAAATACGATAATTCATATCGCCAAACCAAAATATAATATCATGATTACTAATTTTCCACCTAAAATATAAACATATAAATTTCTCTCTATATAATTTTGTATCATTAAAACTATTCTTAAAATTTACAATATTTTCCTTGAGACTTTATTTAACTTATCGATTTAATTGAACATTTTTTTACATCTTACCCACCATCTATGTGTAGTTGTTTGTCCACTATTTGCTGTTGAATGTAAATCTGATGATGCAGGAGTATACCAGATATAATCTTTAAAAGAATATGTTGGTCCATCTGTAAAAGCCATACGTGATTCTATTGTTTGATAATCGTCATTACGCCGTTGTGTTTGTCCATCACCAGATGCAAAATGACAGTTAACAAAACAAATATCTGTTTCATAAAATCGAAATCGAATTCCGACACCGCCTAAAAAGAAAAGGTAGAAATAAATTGTAATATAATTTGTTTATAATTAGACATAGTATTAACTCTTTCAAAAATACCTTTATTTCCCGCTATATTCATAAAACCGGTTGGAACAGATGCACGAGAAATAGCTGTACATTTCGTAACATGTTGTGATCGAACGTAAACAAATAATAAAATTCCTAAAACAAACAGATGATCGAATATCTGTTCTTTTATTCGCCGTTGATTTTATATATTGTTACCCATAAGTCTGACTTTATTAACTAATTCATATTTATTATCGGAAGATATTGAATTTCCACAATGTTTTATTGTTTTAGATAAAAGATGTTCCCATTCATCTTCTTTTTTTTTATCATCATAGAGATATGCTCCACCACTTGTATCTATCTCTTGAAATCCCACAGCAATAATATCCGGTATTTGTTCTGCACGACAAATCCATTCATTTAAACTTACAGTTGATGGTGGTTGACGATTATTCACATTAAATGTACCACATAGAATATAAAACTGTTTATAACATGTATATTCATCTTCTCGTTCTTTTAATTTATCTTCTAAACGTCGATTAGAATCATTGATTCTATTTTGTTGTTGTTCATGAATGGTGTTCATCATGTAAATAAATAATTAAAATAAACTATAATATCAACGCATGGAAAATTTCTATTCTAAAAATCAAAGAAAACAAAAACTTGATCAATCACTTCTTCACATTTTTTTTTTTATTGCTGTTGTTGTTTTTATTATTCGTTTCTAATTAATTTTCAAAAACAATTCGATGAAAAATAAAGATAGAGAGTGAGAGTTATAATCAGAATTAAGAAAATTTCGTTTCATGGATTTTCAAAAAAGTTTACTTTATTCCAAAAGAGGAATAATCATGACAATAACAATAATAATAATAACAAAAGTAAAACATTAAAAATAAAAAATCGACTAGAAGCTCTTCAAATCTTTCATTTTATCACTAGATAAAAATACACACCGGGTCAATAGGTAAATAAAAAAAGAAAAGAAGAACACAATTTGTTTTTAAAAATAAAAGTATCTGTTTTACAGATCACTATCAAAATGTAACATATTGTTTAATATATCTGATGAATTATTTTTCTTCTCATGTATCGGATTATAATCCCATAATAGTAATTGTTCAATAAATAGTGTTGTTAATGATTTATTGTTGAATATTTTTCTAATATCATCATTATAATCATTCCATTTTATTTGTAATTTTTTTACCTCATATAATAAATCGTTTAATTTATTTTCAATATCATTTAATTCATTTGAATCAATTCTATCATTTACCAATAACATTTTATTTATTTTTACTGTTAAAACATGTTTTAACATTTTTAAATTATTATATTTAAAATCATCTAAATCATGTTGAAAAATATCATTATATAATATATTAAGTTCATTTGTTTTTTGTTTACATAAATTATTAATCTTTCAATCATATTTAATCGCCATTGTTCAACATCATTATGAGAAGATAAAAATAGAGAATTATTAATATTTAATGAAGATATAATATGAGCCATCATATTTGTATGTTTATTTAATTTATATAAACGATATTTAAATTCATCTTGATGTTTTAGAATATGTTTAAAACATAGACATAATTGAATGGTATCAAATAATGTAGCATAGGCTATCTCATCACATTCTAAACTATTTGTTTCATCGTAATATTGACATTTGGATATACGATGACACATTTTGTTTTGTTTTTTAATCTAAAAATAAGTATAAAATCATACAAAAATACAGATATGAAAAAATGTTTTAGACAAAAAGAAACATTTCTCTATGAAAAGTAAATTGAACTATTACACCTTGAAAAATTTAGTTTGTGATCTTATTCTGAACGATCGTTTTAAATTGTAATAACGTTGTTCTATCTCATTTATTATTTTATACCAATAAACGATTGTTACCTTTTAGATGTTGAAACGAAAATGGCTACTAAAACTAACAACAATGAAGAAATGAATTTGATTACCATTTTCTATCTGAAAAATAACTTCGTTTTTGAATACGATGAGAGTAATTTTGAATGAAATTCTTTTGCGCTAATAAAAACAAATGTTTTTCTTGTTAGTATCCATTGAAGAATCAGCGAACATAGTACCTATCACAGGATGAATACTCTCAGAAATGTGAATTTCTTGAATTCAAACTGAAGTCGAACATTGATTGAAGTTGAAGATAAAAAATTTTTGTGTTAATTTTCTTTATTATTCTCAATTTTTGACTGGATATAGTTTGAAAAATAAAGTGAGCCAAAACCTTACAACTTGTCAAGAAAACTTAAGGATAAAGAAAGAATTTAGCGCATCCCTTACCAAAATCCTGGGAATCTTGAATATTTTTTTTTTCTTTCTTTTACAGTATCGATTTCAACGATACGGAACAAAAACCTATCTTTTCTTTTGTGTAGAATACTTCTTTTATATATAAATATGTATTAAGTAGGAAAAATGTATTTTCATTCTCTTTTCAATATTATCAATTACATAGCGACATTAATATAACTATTTTTCTTGTCAAGTGATTAATGAATATTACAGAAGATTGAAACAATATATTTGAGACAAAAAGTTCTCATCTTACATCTCATGTAGAAAAGAAAACACTCAAATCCTATCAACAATCTATCACTTTGATTAACTATAATTTCATTTTTATTATCAAAACAATGCCAATATATAGTCGAATAATCGCTAGATAAATTATAGTTAAGTTAAACAATAGTAATAATATCATCAAGTAGATTTAGAAGCAATTTTAATCTCGAAAAGATTTGAATATATTTTTATTCTGTTTTTTTTCTCATATGACAAAGAGAAACATTTAAACACAAATAGTAAAAAAGCAACAGTAATGACAAAAAGAAAACAAAAAAGAAACATAGAAAAAATTCATATATGTGTGTATATGAATATGTACACAAAAAAAAATAAGAAGAAACGGGTTTTTTCTTTTTTTAATATTTTTATAATGATAATAATATTAATATTATATATTTTTGACTAGAAATTTTGGTTCAATTTCGATAGGAGGCTTTTTTATGATAATTAGATGTTGAGTAACCATTTTGACTTGTTTGTTTTTCTTTCGGTGATTGATGTCGATGATGGTAATGATGTTTACTATTAGTTTTATTTTTTGTGGTTAAAACAGATACTGTACGATGTGATTTATGACGTTTATCTTGATTATTTGAATAATAACTAGAAGTAAAAAAACAAAAATTAGTTTGAATTATTAGAAACGATCGAATACACTCTGCCACTAAATAAACGGAACACCTACATCTATCTTGTTTTAAACGCTTTTTCTCAACAAATTTGACTATATTTTTATTTTTTAGTATAAATATGAAACGAAATTTGAGAGATGCAGTTATTCAGGCGCATGAATTGGGACGAGGTCAGCGAAAAAATTTGTAGAGAAAAAGCGTTTAAAACAAGATAGATGTAGGTGTTCCGTTTATTTAGTGGCACCCTGTAAAGATGAGATCGATTCGGTTTGAATGACTTTGTTTTAAAAAAATCAATTGAAAAAATTTTGAAAACATCCTAATTATTTAATTAGCAATATCATCAATTCATCGTTTCTCTTCTATTTTTATCGTTGTTTTCAACATTGTATTCAAAAACAATCATATTAAAAATATAAACAAGCTATTTGTAATTGATATAAAATGAATGAATATTTTTTGTTATCTTCACTGCTTATATGCACACAGACACAGATTTATGTTGTGCAACTGATGTATTTAACAATTTACTCTTCCTATTTTTAATTTTATTTATTACGTTACGATCACGATGTGCTCTCCATTAGACAACGTAATCAATGTCTGTAGATGTGTAATATTTTTTTCTACCTAATTCTGATTTGCAAAAAAAATTTTAGATTTCATTTGATTTGAAAGAAAAACAAAAACGATCCCATTTTTCTTATCGATACAATTCATCATTTACTTATTATCTGGCGATGGTGTTAATGTACGTGATCGTCGTTTTTTCTCTTTCTTTCTTCCATGTTTTCTTTTACGACTAGCAGATGGTGATGGCGATCTTAAAAGAAACAAGATAAATTTTATGACCATTAAAATTCTATTTCTCATTTATTACCTAGATTTTGATGGACTTCGATATTTTCTTTTCTTTTGTGGAAGAGGCGACGGAGAAGATCTTGACGAACTAAAAGGTAAAAAAACGAATATATGATTTATTAAGTAAATATCAATTTATTTGCTTCTCTACCGTTTTCTACTACTTCGACTACTGCTTCTGTGACGATCATTCATTGTTGATTCTCTTGAACTATCTTCATCGGCACCACGATGTGATTTTTCTTTGGATATATTCTCTATTTTACCACCATTAGAAGTTTTTGTTGTTGTTAATATTGTTTCTGTATGAGTAGTTTTTATTATAGATGCTAAAATAAAAATTGAGAAAATATTTTTGATGTATCATAATGATTAGTCTATTATATAGACTATATTAATTATTATCAATTATATTAATTCAAATCAATAGAGATTTTACACTACGCCACTCATAACTTCTTAGCAATTGAAGTATTATCATTATTTTATCAAACAAACATATTATAATCATTGTGACTTAGAATTTTTTTTTTAAACTTTAACTCTCATCTCTTCAGTCCAATGGGCTACTGAAATTGGATTACCTCATTGCATCTATGCCCAAAGGTACTGAGACAATGAGCATTAGATAACTTATCCAAGACTATCATGCGACTGCCGTTGCCGGGATTCGAACTCTGTATCGTTGAAGTACGTTGTCTGCCCACTAACCGATTGAGCCACGCTGCTCAATTACTTAGAATTGATTTGATAATACGTCGAAAAATAGAAGATATTTTCATTTTCTTACCATCATCTTGTAAACTTGTATTTTGCATTGTAATCACTGTTGTGGACATAGAGGCACTTGTAGAATCAATAATTTGTTGTTGTTTAATTATCTGTTCATTCAGATGTGTTTCACGTAATTTTTTTCGTTCATCTTGAATTTTATCACGTAAACTAGTGACAATTTTTTCTAATTCATCAATTGGTTTCTAAACAGATAGAAGAAAAAAAAAGCGTTGAATATTTGAAAAAAAGTTGCATAATAATAAATATACCGGTCGATGTTTGTATAATCTGAGTATTGCAATCATTATATAACGTATTTCTTCTTCTTTTGCACCAAATATAACAAACCAAGGTGGACTTTTCGGCAATGGAATCTATGAAAACAGAAAGAAAGAAATACATTTATCTCGTTTACTGTCAATAAAATAATGACAAAGTGTCGTATTAACAGTTGTTGACTATGGAGTAAAATTGTATTTAAAAATATCTAATATTCGATAATTTAATCGTTATTTTTCAGCATAAAGGAATAATACTGAATACATTTTAAAGAATGTGCTTTATATGTTATCGAAAAAGTAAATTTACGTACATGTATAGAAATGATGCGCATATCTTTCTTGTGTTTTGATGAAATTTGTTTTTTATCGAATTGAATCGTTTTTGTACGGTCAATCAAAAACGGAGCAATATGTTTAATTTTTTCGGTCACATATGGAGAGAAAATACCGTATAAGAAATACGATGCTTTCGTGAACATGAGACATTACCACACAAGAATTATCCAAAATGCAATTATCAAAGAGGACAGCGAATCAGAGAATATCCAAGACACAATTGAGAGAGCCCATTTTAGTAATTTGACAAAAATATTCCAATGAAAAATCGTCTATATATGGAGTTGAACAGATCGATTATTTCAAAAGATAAACTGTTTTATCTTTTTGAAAATCATTGTCGATTATGCATAACAAAAACCAACCATAAATCCCTTCGTCAAATGTGTTTACTTCGTGGTTCATGTTGAGAAAATTGAAATGAAAAGTAGAAAATAGTCTATAGTTAAAATTAAAATAGCGATGATGTATAAAGAACAGTGTAGAAAATAAGACATTATCCTTAAAAATTTTACTCTTTATCTCTGTCAGCTAAAGCAAAATTGTCTCTTTCTCCTAGTCAATATTGAATGAACTGAGTCATTTGTATACATTCATTAGTACTTACTTTTTCGATAATATAATACACGTATTTAATTTTATTTCTTGTGTAGTGGAAAATAACGATTGAATTGTCGAATATTAGATGTTTTTAAATACAATTTTAAGCCTGAAGACATACTGAACTGCTATCAACTTGATCTTCTTCGTATACAAATCTTTGTTCATCAATGATAAAAATTTTAACTCACTTGAAGGTTTCTTGCGGCCAAATCAATACATGCACAGGCTATAGATTCTGGTGTAAATCGTAAAAAAATATCCGTTCTTAAACTATCATTCATATAATTCCTAAAATGAGAAAAATTAAATTTTTTTTAATTATAAAATCGAGTACTTTTGTTAAACAATATGTTTTAAAAAGAAAATGTAGCTAGGATCGACTTAAATAAGACAACCGTAATCAGTATACGACTAAATATTGTGTATTCGAATAACAGTAAGTGAAATCGCAAGTGGTTGGTTACAGTTTACTTATTTCATTTTCTCTTTCATAATTAGATTATCGATCGTATGTGTTGTTTGTCATTTACACTCAAAAGTTTTATTTAGCATAAAATGAACAAAGCTGTAACTAATTTCGCCCTAAAATGTTAGAAACTATCTTTCTTTACGGTTTCTTCTCATAGTTACTAGTTCATTAACAAAAGCAAGTAAACATTTTTAGTATTTAATGAGGATATGTATTGAATACACGTTGTCAAATGATCAAAATGATGCAAATCAAATCGATATATTCTCACATTACTGTTCTTACAACGTCTAGTATTCATTTAAGTCTAATGAGCATATGTTCGATATTTCTTCTTTAACAAACAGACTATGCTCATATTCCGGTATTACAAAAAAATTGAAACATAAACAATAGAGATTAATGCAGATTTTGTCATTAATCTCAGTCAGAAACGAAAAATAAGTCGGCTTATCAGCCAAAGACGTAAACATTTAATTGAATCCAAAAAAAACGTAGAATGCTGCAACAGTGAAATGAAAAGAATGTTTTTTAGAATAAACACATAGTTGGTAATTTTTGAGATACATTACCTTATTTTGAAAATAAACTTGAACAACTTTCCTCCAATTACTTTTCAATCCTAAAGCTCGATATTGGCGCAAATCGAATGCCTTTCTTACTAGAAACATACAGATCATAAAATCAACGGAACCAATCTTCATAAACAAAACAAATTAAACTACAGGTTCATTGCTGGAGCGCTCAAAACTTATTGAGAGTAAAAGACAGTCAGAAGAAAGAGTCTCAGAATAGGGTCTAAGCTGAGCTTCTCGGGATAGAGTATTAAAGTAAAGTTGATAAACCAAAATTAAAGTCATATCGGATAAAGGAAGGTATTTGTCTCCTCGACAACAATCAGGCTACAGCGAACGTTAGCAGTAGGTATTAACGACTGAGGAAGAATCTGTCATGCTATCTCTTCCAGATCTTTCGATGCTTTTCTCATTCGACGTTTTTTCCTCTTTACATGTATCCCTTCTACCACTGAGCTGTTTATTCATCACCTTTTTCTAACCCTATTTAGTGATTAATGGAACCGAAACTACATTTTCAAATTCTACCACAATAAATAATTACATAAACGATTAATTAAATACGGTTCATGTATGATTTAATATATGTAAATATTTTCAACGACTATCAAAATATCTTTTGCCTGTTCGATTCAACAACTCTATTGTAAGTCCCAAGAAAATAAGTTATTTTCAAAATGAATCTAAGAGTCGACTAAAAAAAGCCCATACATAAGAAAGCAACCGATCACAAAAACAAAGTAGAATGCAGAAGAAAAATGGTCATTTCTTATATAACTACTGTCAAAGGTCAACAGAATTTTGCATGTCATGTCGTGTGGGGAAGATGACAAAATCGTGATTTTTCTGGTGCAATCAAACGTCTTTAAACTAAATCGAACTCAATTTTCTCAATTGAGCTACACTAGATTTCTAATAAGGAATATATGACGCATAATATGCCGCTGAGTAAGAATTTAAATTCTTTTCATGTGATAGCAGATGTAGTAAATAACGAATAAATTCCATCGAAACTTCATCAGCTAATATAACATTCTCTACGTGCAATGTAAAAACTTTAGTATAGTGAAATTGTTAGCAGATTAAACTATTTGACGAAAAGAAATTTTAAAGAAACGTCACTATAAAATTATAGTTTGCTGAGGAGTTAAATAGTCAATTTTACGTTTTAACTTTTCTTATTATCTAATTGATGTTAAAAACAGCTAAGCGTATATTTTCTCGTTCTCTGAGGCGAATATCATGGGAGAATATACTTGAAAACGTTTTCAGTGTCACAGGATGGTTCGGACACTTGTACATAAGGGAGAACTAAAAAGAAATAGTAACTTTTGAGGTATGACTTTCTTATTTAGAGGAAAATTACGCAGTTCACTGGATACGCATAAATATCTCTTCTGGAACATCCGCTTTCACGCAAGGTAGTTCAATGAAAATAGTTGATTTTCGATATATAGGGAACTTTTGAATTCAATTCTATGACTAAAACCTTTTGGGTTCCTGATTATGTTATACTGCTAAATATGTCATAATATACTTTTTTCTGATAATACTTTGATGTCAAGGGAATAATGATCGCTTTTTTCAAACGCAGTTGATGATCAAAAATACTTTAAAATGCAAGGCGTTCGCTCTAGACTCAAAAACATGTGAAATGTTTTTGTTCTAAAACTCTGCAACTACGTATGGAGATACATTATGATGAATACCATAACTATCTAACCTATGAGTGATATTTGATCACCCAATAATTTTTGCTGCATACTATCTTTTTTTATTTCCTAAAGAAATCTGGAGTTATTACATTGCATACAGGTCTTATCGATGAACTACGAATCAAAACGATGCATCGCGATTACTATTTATATGAATAACAAATAAAAACATCTTCAAACGTTTCTAAAACACTCAACATGCTAAATGCAACTTCTTACTTAACAAACAGATTATCATCACTTTTCATTCTCAAACCTCAGATACACGCAATTTTTGTCCCTTTTCTGAACAATCGCTTAATATTTTTAAAAAATCTGTAACAAGAAGTCCATCTATTTCTATTGATTAACTGAAAAAGGTTTCTCACCTTTTTAGTACAAAAGGGCATTATCAGTTTAAGTAAATAATGACACATTAAATGGTATAAGGTGGTTTTGGACATACCGTGCACTGTGTGCAGCGTCTGAGTATAGATAAGTTTAGACATATTCAAAATAACAAACCGATCTAAAGAATCTGCAAGCTGTCAAATTCAACTTTGTTCATTTTAAGTGTGTGTTTGAAGAAAAAAGATCACATGAACGGAACTAACATTTTGTTCAAGACGAAAGAATGGTCTAAGACAAACAAGCAAACAATCGTTTAAGAGAAAATGAAATAAACAAAAACTGTACGATGATACTTGCGTTTCTTGTTACCACAATATTGTTCATAAATCTTGATGTCTAGCATGTAATTTCATACTGGGTACATCATATTAACTGTATGTATATCTAATAGATGTATATATATATGTGTGTGTGTGTGTGTGTGTGTGTGTGTGCTTAGTATGCATGAATGATTTTATACATGGAATAATGAATATCAATTTCATGATGTCCACACGGCGCACACTCCAGGTAAACCATCTAACCTGGATAAAATGAAATCAATTAGTAAACAGATACAACAGAAAACAAAAACATACAGAGAGCGAAAAGAAGGGCAATATAATTTTAAAAAAAGGAAGTTTCTACTTGCTCTCAATCGCACATGAACGTCCATAGTAATGCAATTTAAGAAAAATGTTTTCCTGATTCCTACGTAAAATAGCACTAGTTTACTAAATATTTAATAAAACAAAACTATTGACCAAGATGAATAGTAACAGGTCAAATCGATGAGAAAAATGAAAATTGTTTAGTCTAAAACATTTAGTATAATGTTAGAACATCATTTAAAGAACTCTGTTATTGCATGTTAACTCAAAAATGAAAACCATTTTTTTCTAAAGCTGTTAAGATATTGACTGACTGTTTTTTCTCAAGAAAATCTTTCAAATACATTGAATACTATGTGTGATGTTGCAAAAATTAGAAATGCTCTGCTGACGACAAACGGATTATAAATGCGAAGCTAAAGGAAATTAAAGTTTCTTCATAAACTGCTTCATTTTCTCACTATTTTTTGTCCAAAACAAGTAACCCTTTCGCGAAAGTGTCATCGTATTATGATAACGACTCTCTCTCTCTTTCTCTCCCTAACACGAAATAAGTGAAACTGCTTCTAAATAGAAATGGAATAAAAAAAGGAAAAAAATAATCCAATAGTAAAACTTACCAAGCTCTTTGAACAAAATGTTTTTCACGTTCCTTTTCGAGAACTTTCAGATACATTGTTATCATCTAGAAAGAATCGATAACACGAAGTTATGTTGATTACCAGTTAATAATTACAAGCTGGCGATCTTACTTTATGAGGATGCTTAACATAAACACAGAATCCAAGTTCTTTCAAAATTCGCCTTTCTGCCTTGATTACGTCTAATTTCTTATCAATATAATTTTGATCTATCAATAATGGTCGAATTGTTCTAAAATGAGTAGACAATTGATTTACCACTGTTTCATTATGAACATTATTAATACTAATTTCGTACTTTCCAGCTCGAACTTGTTTTATATGATGGAATACATTGATAACATCACGTATACGTCTAAAAATAAATATACAAGAGATAATGAGTGTCGTTCAATTTTATTTAAGTCTAAAAAAAACACAATACCTTGCGTTTTCCTCAATTTTCGCAGCAAGATTTGTACATGCCATAGCAACAATTTCCATAGGACGTTTTATGAATGACGACGAATAAAAGTAACGATGAAATAATACTTGACCAGTAGCTACGGCAGTCTAACAGAAGGAAAAAATTCAAAAAAAGATATATTTGTCTATTACAACAAAACAATAACAACAAACCTGCGGTAATTTTAATAAAAGTCCAGCTGTTTGAATTAATTCACAGCCTAATAAACGTAAATCATATTCAATATCCCACGATAAACCTTCTTGCATCGAAGGAGTGGGATTTGGATATAATTTTTCGCTTGGTAATAAAACATTTCCTAATGTCAAAATAACATTACTGTATGTTGATTCAGGCATTTGGAAACTCAAAGACAGAGGAATTCCACCTATTTTATCTATGAATAAAAATTTTGAAACTTAAATTGACACTGATGACGCAAAATGAAAAACACTTATGAACCTATGACGTACAACCTACTCACTGTTTACAGCCAGCACCGAATTGCTTGTTTTCTTCTTCGTTCTTCCTTTCTTTTCAGAATAAAATTGTGTAATATAAATGACCAATCCAAGTGCAATATTTATGAGTAAATGCATAAATATTTGAAAACTGAAATTTGATTAAACATTCATGTAGAGGTCTGTACAAATGGTAATGATAATGGTACAGGCAGAGCGCAAATCGCATTGAGGTATTTGTATACCAGACTATTCTCATTTTCTCTAACCAACTAACAAAATAACAAACAAACGTCTTCGTGCATTAATAGATAAACCGACCGACAATAAATATTTTATTATTTATGTTATTGTTCATTTTTTTTAACAAAATAAAAATAGAAAATCAAACGAAAATTAATTTTTTTAATGCAGAATTTGTAAATAGTTACTGTCCATTTTGTTCAACCTGAATGAAGAGCCTTCATCGGTACCGGAATGCTCGCAGGTAAAAAATTGAGAAAATAACTGTTTTTTCACTTCGCAGCAACCACTGTTCTCTCTTCTATCAGTGATATATACAGATTGGTTGAAATGACAAAGTTTATAGTAAAGAGTATCATAATTACAAGTATTGGAAAAATTTCATAAATCTTTTGCAAAATTAGCCAAAGAATAAAGAATAGATTTTACTTTAGAGCTGTGGCGTGCAGTTGTATTTTGCTTTTGATTTACGTAATCTATTTTCACGTCTATTCATCCGAATGATTTTTGATGGCTATTTTTCGATTTATCATGTATCTTATGTTTGTCTTTTAATTTTTTAGTTGGCAATACGTCCTACAAGACATCTAATACTTCCTCATTACCATCATCGGTGTTAAAGGGATTATCATCTTCCGGACAACATCCATCGACGAATCCGCAATTGTCAACTACTTTGTTGCCGCCAGTTTCATCGAATGCAGTAATCAATAATAATAATAATATTCCTCATAGTACCACTCATCGTTCGCAACTACAACAACATCACCATGAACGACGACGAAATTATCGATATACAGGAGATCCTGCCTCTCATGCAGCAGACAAAAAAGCTTATGTTAACGGCGATCCTGAAGGAGTAAGTAACTTTGATTCTACAGCTCATAAATATTGATCTTCTGACTGAACAAATTGTCAATCTTTCTAAATATGTTTTGGCTTTCCTTTGAAATATATTGCGTCGTTTTTCGAATTTTATTCAAAGCGCTTAAATTATGTACAAAAGATTTTCTATGCGATTAAATCTTTGGATTGACATCTGTCGAGAACATAAAAGTTAGAAAAACATAGACTAGAGTTTTTGCTAACATGTAATAGCTACTCAAATTGAAGCCAATCTATATATCAGAACAAAGTTTTCGCTCTATTAACTGTATTTTCCATTGTAAACGCATTTCTTATAAAAACTAAACTATTTTTAGACGCCAATGCATTTGTCGGGATGCGCTGATCCACGAAATCCTAATCGAAACGATAAAGCGTATCTTGAGTTGCCCATACCAAAATTTAAGGTAAAATTCTTTTCATCAGCAGAGTCTACTTATTGCATGAGAGATATCACCTAGTTTTGTCTCGTTTAGATTGATCGATGTTGGGTGGGCTATTTGCCAGCCAAAGAAGTCACATTTCGAAACTTAAATGATAATATCACAAAAGCATTTTTAGCTGATATTTGTAACCGTTTTGGTGAAATAGATGATTGCCGAATTTATTATGATCGAGTGACAAAAAAGCACCTTGGATTAGGAACAGTAAGTGAATGTTATTATATTAACTATTGTAACTTTATCTTCCATTTACTTCAGGTAATTTTTAAAAAAACGAAAGCAGCCAGAGAGTGTGTGAAAACATTGCATAATTCTACAAAAATGGGTTCAGTAATTTCAGTATCTCTTGATACAGGAGGTACGTTTCCACCAACCTTTATTTCAAAAGAATAAGAGCATATTATTTAATTTAAGGTATCGATCGTACAAAACAGTATGCAACTTTAATACGCGGACCAGAACAAGAAAAAGCAGCAGCAGCTGCAGCAGTAAGTTTATCGATTTAATTCCACTTTTTACACTACACGATTTGACAAGCTTTGTTTTTAGGTAGCTGCTGCACA